CCCCCCCACCCCTCCTGCTCGATGTTGATATTTTGATCCATCACATGCTACCCCCTTATAAAAATCCCTGCCCCCTCACCCGTCTTACTTTTTCAACTATCTGTCGGACGACACTAACGACTGTTCACAGAACGTCAAGGGCAAGAAGGTCGCGCTGCGGTTCTTCTTCGGCGGACTGGCCAAGTATCGCGAGGCCGTGCAGGCCATGATCGAGGACGGATACCGTGGCTTCGTCCCGCTTGAGGGGACGGAGCAAAAGGAGGGAGAGAAGAGAGGCCACGCCCTCGCCACTGCCGTTCCGATTGAACAAAAGCCTGCGCCTCTCAACACCATCACGAGCGTCCCTTCCGAGTTGGTCGAGGCTCTCAACTAATGGGCGAAGCTGCCGATGGCCGAATTCCTCGCCAGCCCCTCCCGCTTTGTCTCCGGCCGAGCGACAATCCAGGATGCAGATGCCACGACGATTCTCTTCGAGGTGCCGGCTAGGGTGGGGGATTATCTCTCCTCCTGAATCGGTTCCCAGAGTATTGTGCAGGAACCACGGGCAGATCTAGTAGCCGAACAGAACATGAAAGTGGTCTTCTCTCAACACCTACCTAACACGAGCATTGGGAGAAAATCAAATCCTACAGATATAGTCGCTTTTGATGTCATAAGTTCTCTTATTCTTTTCTCCTGGGATCAAATCCGATCCCTCACATTTATTCCATGTCTGTTACATGTGGGACCCAAGCACGGTCCCAATCCTTTTCAAGAGCAGTAATCTATCTGCAACCGTAGAAGCCTTTACACATCAACACTCGTCACCAGTCATGAAACTTGATCACCCAACAAGATGTGCTCCAAACATCCAGACAAACTGTACAACTACCACGCGTATTCAGTCGAAACCTGCTGGCTGTTTCCTTGCCTCCACTCTCCGTCATCACTCGGTTCACTATCAAGGAAGTCGTTTTCGTGATACTGTGTTTCGGCAGGTCGTTGGTCCGAGATCACGAGGTTTACCACGTCACATCTGCCTTGAATAGCACTCGGAGCTGGCGTGTCGCTCTCATCAGTGGTATCGCTGAGGCTGAGCTTCTTGAGGTGACCGTTTGCGATCCGAGAGCTCTGTCGCTGCGATGCAGAAGGTATCTTCTTTGACAACTTGCTCCTGACATTGGAAGGTTCTTCAGTGTTGAGAAAGACATTCTCTAGCTTTGGCAGCCATCTCTGTCTGAACTTCGCCCGGTCGCGCCAGCTGGCATCTTTCAAGATCGCCTTAATGTTGAGTCTCCTTAGTTGCGGCAGATGCTCAGAAGAATCAACCAGCGACGCGAGAAATTCTTCTGCGGCTTCTTGTGTCAATTGACGCATATTTTCGATCGAGATGCTAGCAAGGTAGGTGGGCCAAGTAGGAGGTCCATTAGGTAGTAGCTCATCGTAGAGGGGTTCGCGGTCGCGGAAGGAAGTCGGATCTATATAGAGCATATCGATCTCTAGGTGTTGCAAGTGAGGGCACAGAGATTGAAGGTTGGCCATGAAACCCAAATCCATCGACTGATTGCCATCAAGTTTGAGGACCCGGAGGCTGGAGCCGCCGGTCAAATAGCCCTCCAAAGCGTCGGAGGTAAGACGGGGGCAATTCGTCAGTTCCAAGTGTAGGAGTCCAGGCGGAAGCATTGGCATAGTAATCTCGTCAACGATGCCGCAATTTCGAAATGACAGGGACTGCAATTCAGGGACACTGCTTAACACTCCGATCAGTAAGCTGCGCGCCTCGGTGATGTCTGGTTCCTTGGCCTTTTCGGGCAGACTCAGGTTAAGAAACGTTAGGTCGCGCAAGCGGCTGAAAGAGGGTCTGCATTGAGCATCCACGGCTATCCTGAGGACGTCGGCTGTATTCGGAAACCTTCCATTCCACTCAAAGCTTCTCATGAAGAGATGATCAGCCTCCAAACGTTCGAAGAGCTCTGTCGGGTAACTCCACTTGAATTTCTTCGCTGTCGGTTGTGCCCATATTACAGTTGTGAGGTCATCGTAGTTGGAATAGAGTCTCAGCCCTTGCAACAGAGGAGTCATAGAAATCAACCTATCCATTGAGATACCACTCTTCTTAACGAGAAGTTGTTTGACTTCAATGTCGAGGAAATGGATCTTTCTCCGGTAATCAGTTGAAAGTGACTCAGGAGCTTGCTCGAGCAGATTGATGAGACTGTGGGCTCGCCATGGTGGGTACAGAGGAGGGCTGTAAAGCAAAGCTGCTGTGCAGGCTTCGCGAAAGGAGCGACACAAGGTCCCTGTTGCACACAGCCAGTTGATCGAAGGCTGCGCTCGCGACGTCGGACCGTAGAGTGGATATGCAGCATATTGCATAATGTTCACGAGAACAAGGTACGGCAGTTGCTGCCACGGGGGAATCCGCATGTTGTCGGATAAAAATGATATATCATTAGAGAGCTTCGTGTTCATTTTGTTCCGGTTGTTGTTGGAAAGCGAAGGCTTCTGTTGTTTGTAGGTTTTGAATAAGTGCTTCGCATTCATTTGGCTCCCAGTCTGGTTGGAAGACGAAGTTTTTTGTCGTTTGCTCGGGTTGAGCAAGCGCTGCCGCCTGGGTGTTGGTGCAGGTCCTGATTTCCTCTTTGGTAGCCATGTCGGCTTCTGCGAATGTGGCTGTGATCTCGTAGTTCTTTGAGGTCGAACACTCGAGTGGGTGGAGGTGGACTGAGAGTCTGATTCACCGGACAAGGGATCTGAGATATCATCGCTATCGTCGTCACTTGATTCTCTGTATGTCTGTATTCGACGGGCAGCCCGGTTAGGTCGAGGGTTGGTGGTGAACTCATGTAGGTCATCGGTATCGCTATCGTCATTCGGATACTGGACTCGAGGGCCGCGACGAGGCCGACTGCGGGTTGAGGACTGCGCCATGGTGGGGAAGCGCAGGTCGGGCGGTGGCGGAGCAATGGACAAAAGAGGGACACTGTCGAAACTCCTATCGTGTACGTCTAGAATGGTGTTGAGACAGAAAGACCGAGCGTCGACATTCTAGGGTTCCCCTATTGCGACGAGGACTTGTTGGTGCAGGGTACCGCTGGTATCGGTCAGTCGCAGGATTGCATGACTACAAAGGTCGCATGCAAGTAATGAGATCTTGCATCACCTTGAATCACACAAGTGGCGGATCTTGCCGCAGCCATACCGCATTAGTGGTGTTAGCAGTCTCAAGGGAAAGTATCCCGAGGAGAGAGGGGGTCCCATGTACTTGATACTTGAATGCCAGCACGCTCACCGCTTCACTCTCAATAGGTACTGCATTTAGGATGCTGCGAGGCTGCAATATTTCTTCGGCGTGTCGTGCTGCTGTGATCAACCATGCCCTAGCTATTAACTATTGCCAAAGTCTGAGAGTGTCGTTTGCGACTGTCTGTGCCGGGGCGGAGTATAAGTCCTCTCTAGACGGGACTGCGCCCGATCGGTGGGAGGCACGGTGAAGACTCCGTATTTTGGGGTATCACGACTATTCCTGTTCCTGGCAGACGGTGCCTGAAAACCCTCGGTACCACCCAATGCTCCTCATCCGAGGATGCTAAGCAGGCCACAGGCTTGTTTGCATTTGCTGTCTTGCAAATCCCAGGGTGTGGAATCGGCCATTGGGTATCTTGATGGGCGCAAGAGATGGAGAACTCTGGATTCTTGATCGTTCAATATCGAGACAGGGTTTTGATGTGGCTGTCGAATGATCCGCAGTGCACAAGTAAGGAAGCTGGGAGTTCTCGCCTGCTAGCGGTGGAAGCGGGGGCGTCAGTGGCAGGCTCAGCGGGCCCCCCTTAGGCCTAGAGCCCACGAATAGCAGGCCCTCCGTGCAGGTACCTAGGTGCCTTCGGTGCTAGCGAGGCTTGGTAGTGGCCTGGTGGACAGCGGAGGCAGGTGGTCGCAGGAGACAAAAGCCAAAGGTGCACAGACCTGCAGGACGGACATGCAACCTGCACTGCCACTGAAAATCATGCACGTTTATCTTGGTCGTGGGCGGTGGCGGCGTTGATCATCACCACGCCGTGCCCATGCGTTCACCCAGCGACAGATACTTATCCCAGTGACAGTGGTAGAGTGTACATGTGTGCATTGGAATCAATCACTCGGCAATCTCTGTCCGGGTCTGTTATCGGTGACTTAGCATCTGCTGTGTGTTTCATGTTGCCATACCCAAATCTCCCGCCCATCAACGGGCTGGCGCTCCGTGGTTCCATGGGCCATGGGCTGGGCTGGCAATAATAATGGGCACTACCCAGAGGCGCTAGGCACTGGGCACTGGGCACTGGGCAGCTTGTTCTCGTATGCCATGCCACGCCCTGGTTTCCGCAGATCCACTCGCAACCTCGCCCTTTCCCAGCACGTCAGCCAATCTCACTACCTGGTCGATGCCAGGGAGCTCCTGCTGCTGGTTGCTTGGGGATTGCACCTTGACTACTCGTGGGTACCACTGCTACCACCCCCAGACAAGCTCTCCCACTCAATCATCTCCCTTGCTCTCGTAGAGGCCAAAGTGAGAGCCATCACCCGTCCCCTTCACATACGAGTCTTCTCCCCGGCATCGAGAAACCAAGATAAAGCAGTGGTCAAGCTGTCCTCGCGCCCGTTACATCATCCCCATTCCCGTCCTGCAGCAACTCAACTCTAAGTGACAGATCTGCAAGGAACTCTTCTCTACAACTTTTTCCTGCCCCCCCGGTCCATCCTCTCCTTCCAGCCCCAGAGGAGGCCCCCCATCATCCTTATTTGCCGACTCCGATCAAGTCACCCTGCCAACTTTTCTGGTTTGCTGCACCACGCCTGCGCGACTGCAAACCTGCGCACCCTGCAGCAAAAACCCAGCCAATCCTGCACCTTGCGAACCAACGGCCCTTCCTTCCACTCTTCTTCCGTCCTTCAAAGACATTCTTCTCCAAAAATAATCCCATTGACTCTAAAGTCCTCCAACTACCGATCGACGAAACACCTCCCACCCCTCGACCACCCTGCCAGCGCAGCTTGCTCGGATCGTCTGAAACAGGCGCAGCCCGTCATCTGAGATTTCCTCCAAAATCTACAGCGCATGGTGTTTCACGTCGCTATCCTGTACTTCCCTCTCGTCATCTCCTCTACCGTCATCGAGACTCCGGCTTCTTGACCTCGTTGTGGAAATGGGTGGAACACAGTATGGAAAATTCCAAGTAGGATCCCTCAGGCACTCGAGTCTGGCTATCCAAACCACTGACCTACGACTCCAGGACTTCTGTCGCGATGCGACACTACCTATATGCAACGTCAGACTCTTCCCCCCTCCAGCGATAAGCTCCTAGTCCCCTTCTAACTGCTATCCAGATCCTCGTCACGAATAACCAACCACCCGGCCTTGCGTATGGCGGTTGTGTCCTGCGTGGAATCACTCTGAGTAACAACCGGAATCTTGCCAATCTGGGTTCAATACTGCTCTGTGGCATCGCCATCGTCGTCACGCTGTTTCTGCTATGGCGCGCAGAAAGGAAAGCTGCTGCGGTCGGTCGCCGGGAAATGCAGATGTTTCTGGTCGGATATCTGATCATTGAAATCTGTGAAATATTTACGGTCGGCGGATTTCCATTGAACAACGATGTGCGGAAAGGGTTCACGGCTGTCCATCTGGCCGCTATCGTGGCGACCATGTGGATCTTACTCATGAATGCAGTGGTGGGTTACCAATTAGTGGACGACGGCACACCATTGTCGATGGGGTTGATTGGCTTCAGCTCCCTGGCATTGTTCATTGGCACTGGCTACATTGCACTCGACACGGCCTTCTCTTGGACTGGGTTTTGGGACAGCTCGTTGCACCCACCGCACCAAAGCTACGCCCTCTACACGTTGTATCAGCTGGCACCCTTGGTCTTCCTGTTTTTATTCTTCGTCCTCGAGTCGATACTGGTTCTCAAGGTCCTGGGCGAGACGAAGCCAATGGTCTATTTGGTCGCTGCCGCCCTCCTCTTCGCCATCGGCCAGGTCTTCATGTATGTGATATCGAAGCACATATGCGAAGGCACCCATGGCGACATCAATGGCACCCTTTTTGAGACCCTATTCACGCTCCTCAGCGTTGTGGCGGTGTTTGTGTTCTGGTCATCAATTACTGAAGACGACTGGCCCATCCAATGATCATGGCAGGACCATAGCCAGGGGTTTTGAAACGGCCGTCATAGGGAAAAAGTCTTGGGTCTACCGGAGTTGTCGTCGAGTTCCTCTTCTTGGCCGGGGCAATTGAAGGTGAAGAAATGATCTTTAATATCTCGAGACGGCAAAACCGGTGCGACACCCCCTCCTTACCTGAACAAGGAGCGCCCTTGTGCTTTGTCGCAATATCCTCATGTTTCCCCATTGGAGGGGTTGGGCATGATAGCTTGACGAGTTACGCAGCGTTTGGCATCTGTGAAATGTGTATTGATCGCAATTTCCTGGGAGGTTTCAGGTTTCAGTCGATTTCAGCGTAATTCATGGGCCAAAACAAATTTCCGCGTCGACTTGAGGGCTGTGAGCTGGTATCATACAGCGACCATTTGACCTAGACTAGAATATAGTAGTAGTCCAGCGAAGACATATTTTTGTGCTGGACGGACAATATATGAGACATCCTCTGCATTTCTGTGGTTGAAAACGAATCTTGTAAGTGAATCGACAACCTACAACTCCGTACTCATCATAGATGGTGCACCCGTGGCGTTGAGCACGGCCTTCCAACAGGATTTCGTCAAACGACCAGCCGCCGTGTCAAATTTCAGAGAACCAGCTTGACTCCAACGCAAGGTAACGTCCACTCCGAGCGCCCTAGTAAGTTCCTCAACCAATGAGTTCCAATTCCAGTATCCAGAAGTGAGGGCAAAGACGTCGCTGAAGCTGCTGTTTCTGCTCCGGTCGTGGTTGAGGATACGACCAACTTTTGCCGAGCTTCATCGAACAATTCCTCTGCCGTGTTTTTGGCCGCGTTCGCAAGACCGGCGACGGTTGTCCGTGCGACGTCTGTGAGGAAGCCTCCCATCTCCGACGCAGCAGCACCGTTGCTCGCCTGTCCCGTCATGTTCCCGAGATTGCCCGAAAAGTCCGTCGTATATAACCTCGGAGTGAACCAAGCCGCAATCGTCTCGTACGAGGACAACTCTCCGCCATCAGGATGTTGGGATGTTAGGATGGGTAGGTCGATGAAGCACCGATTTGACCAGTGGCATGACGACGCGAAGAGTATGATGAGGAGAAACGAGCAGTATATGCACGGGCGGTTGAGGAGGTACGTGAGCACGAGCAGGAGGATGAGATGTATGGGCGACAGGCTGAGGGGAAGAGGGAGCAGAAGGAGTGGAAGGTATCTGATCGCACGGGCGCTGTTAGAACATGTTCGTAACCCTCATAACGAGACAGGAGGGGGGAAAGGAGGGCGACAGCCTACTTACGAGCGAAGACAATACATTGGCATTGATATGATGTGTCTTTAGATCTGTAAAAGTAGGAGGAAGTTAATCGAACTTTGTAATACTTGCGCGTTTAGTGCTGAGAGGGGAAAGGGCTGCCAACACTTTGTATGTACTCGGTACAGGTGGAACTTTTTTGAGATGGTGTGGAACTTGGATTCAGGCTGGCTCAGCCAAGCAGGACGAATGAGCATCTCTGTATTCAGGATGATTTAGGATTTTTGTTGCTGCTGCAGCGCCCAGACATAAAGGGGTTGAGCAAAACACGCATAGTCTGCAGAAGCGGTGACACTGGTCTCGAGACACAGCAGCCTGTATTGACACTCATTCTGGGCAGCACCTTGGGCTTCTACATCATACACATGTACCGAGGACTTGTATGCAGCGAGTGCCCTTCAGTCGGTAGCCCGGAACTGGTACCTACTCGCGGTAGGGAGGCATTCGGTAGTCAAAGTACAGTTGTTAGGCGCCATAGACACCCACATGGACCCGGGAGGATTTTGCCGGGGCGACCAAGGTGCAGTTCGCAGCTGGGAGGATGGCCCGCCTTGGCCAGGTGAGCCGCCGCAGACTCCTGCAGGCTGCAGGCAGCGGGCACGTGCGGGTGGCAGCAGTCATGATCGAATTGGAGCTCCCAGACTGCGGAGAAATTTTGACGAGCCACTCGTCGCCGTATCGACGTCTGATTCACCTCGATTCATCTTTCCTTCACCTTCCTCTGGATTGCTCAGGGCTTTATGTTTTCATCAGCAAACACCTTCCACCCACCCTCCCGGTTAATCGCGTGTTGAACATACCCTCTTCTTTTTCCTGCACGTTTCGGTGCTGCCACTCATTCCTGCCTCTTCTCTGGCTCCCGGTGTAGCATCCGGGTGACGCAGAACCATTATCCTTTGCCTTTCTACATTCGGATCGTGAGCTCATCGGCCTGGACGTCCTTGGACTGACTGGAATAATGTCGCCCAACGACCTGCAAGCCATGCTTGCCAACTTGATGGTGAAGCCTCGCGATTCCCCAGCCCCATCCCAGACGCCACACCAATCCAACTCGGCAGGCCAAACCTCTCCGTTCCCAGGCGCCTCATCGTTGCCTTCGAGCCCTCCTCCCCTCACTTCTGTTGCGAATCATAGCTCCTACAGCCAGATGGCGCAGCCAGTCGCATCCGCCCTCCCTGCCAACCCGTTGCTGGGCCTGCTCAATTTTGCGACCACTACCTCGACACCTCCCAAGGCAAACTCCAGGCCTCTTTCTTCTGCCGACAATGCCGCTGCGGTTCCCGAGGACAAGAATGGCGGGCCAGTTGTAAATGCTGCCGGGCAGGGACCGTCGCCTTCGACTTCGGATCTCCTCGCGCAGTTTTGGTCACCTTCTCCTGCACAACGCGGCTCGACAACCCAGTCTCCGCTGAATTTGGAAGATCAAGGTGGCGGCGGTGGTAAAGAAAAATCTACGACTGGTCGCGATGCGGCGCAGGAGGCGCTAGACAAGCTCGTCAGAAGAAACCATCTCGGCAATTCCATCAGCGCACGCCAGAATCTGGTTGAGAAGCCACCGAGCCCATTACCGGATGCCAACTCTGACGCGAAATCGGCAGAGGCAAAGCCGACGAAGACGGAGTCACCAGCTCCTTTGTTCGGTCCCAATTCCACCGCTGAGGTGCACGTGTTCGGAGCTCTGGGTAATGACACTAAATCGTCGACTCAGGATCGAACCATATTCAACCACAGGAACCCGTTTGATGACCTACAAGCATTGTTGAAGGCCTCCCGGGCACAGACACCGAAGGAAGGAGTAGCTTCTTCCAAGGATGTCAATGTTGAAATTCCTGAATCCAGTGTCGACCCCAGTAATGATATCCCTGAAGACACAGATCCACCTGTGGCCGCAGGTGGCCAGGTTACCAAGAGGAAAATACTCACTCCTAGACTACCTCTGGCACCAAAGAATACCATAGCATCGCGCGAGGATTCAGCCACTGCAGCAACGCACAAGGCCGCCACGGAGGACGCAGCTCCGGCGGAAGAGATTGCAGCTTCCACTCCAGCGGAGACGAAGTCGACAGGCGAGACGAAAGAGGAGATTCATCTGATATCTGACAACGGTGCAAAACAGGACGAAAGCTCCACCGCGGAGAAAATTGTCGACCAGCTAGCCGACGGCGGTGATGAATGGGAAGATACAGAAGAGTCTCCAAATAAGGAGTCCTCAAGGACTGTATCTGTTTACAATTTCCCCATCAAGCCCTTTGTTTCGATCACCTTGCAGTTGACAGAACCTTCGAGCGTCGGCATTAGAGATGACGGAGTGATGGAGATATCAAGACTGAAGAAGGAGTTCGATCAACTGGACCGTTCTTTGGCAGCTGCAACATCAAAGTACATCGCCTACGCCTTGGTGAAGAACGGCGGGATGCGCATCATCAGACAAGATGACGGTAGTGATCGTCAAGTCTTCAAGAATTCCCATGACCGGATATTCAATGTTTCACTCTGCACCACCTCTGCTGCTGGCGAACCATCGGATGATCAGGCGCTCCTCGGGACCGGAGTCAGTGGTACTGTGTATTACGCAACGATCAATAAGGACGGAAATGACCTGTTTGAGAAGAACGAGCTTGACACCGAAAGCCTCATCTTCCCGCCTTACCCACCGGCTGATGAGAATGCATCAGGTGGTGTGCTCAAAACCCGGGCAAAGAGAAGCTCTCGCCATCCCGAGTTCTTCGCCATTGGACGCGGCAAGGCAATCCATCTCGTCTGGCCAGCCACCGCGCTTTCCCCCCGCTACGGTGTAAGTGAGCACAATCGACGGGTCGATGTCGAGAAATTCTTTCAAGAACGATCGCTTCAGATTTCAACTGGGAAGGCGGGGAAAGACTTCACCTTCAGCGAGGATGATACTTTGATCGTTTCTTTGGACAAGACCGGAAGATTACGATTCTGGGATATTCGTAAACTGATTGATGAGTCAAATGCAACTTCAACTCGACTTGCGAGTATGACTGTCGATGTGCCGATCTTGTCCCTCTCCACCGCATCCCCGGCAGAGAAATCGTGGCCGACGTCGGTACTCTTCGTTGACAAGGCTCGTCCATATATCAGAGGGGGAGCGCTCCGCTACGTACTTGTCGGCTTGAGGCAGAACCACACTCTTCAACTATGGGATATTGCTCTAGGCAAAGCCGTTCAGGAGATTAATTTCCCTCACGAGAATGAGACTGATGGTATTTGCAGTGTGTGCTATCATGCAAATAGCGGGATCATTGTTGTCGGCCACCCGACCAGAAACTCGCTCTTTTTCATTCATCTCTCTGCGCCACGTTACACGATTAGCACTTCGATGACCCAGGCTGCGTATGTGCAACGTATTGCTGCCAAAGATCCAGAATTACCAAAGCCTGATTCTACGGCTTGCATGAGTGGCATCCGTGAAATGTCCTTTGCAGAGAAGGGTCAGCTTCGAAGCGTTGAGCTCCTTCCAATTTATCGGACTACCGAGGAGCAGAGGGCTGTTGACGAGAAGACGTCGTTGTTCGAGCTCTATGTCGTCCATTCAAAAGGCGTTACTTGTCTCAATATTACAAAGGAGGACCTGGGGTGGAATGCGAGCATGAAGGTGGTCGATGGGATTGATGCTGCGAAGCAAGGTTACGTCAGCTTGAAAGAGCTGCGCCTTGGGAGTGTGATCGAAGAGGGCCCTCGAGATAAGAGTCCAGTCGAAGATGTGCCAACAAGTAAGAGTTCGAAGAAAAAGCAAGGAAAGAAGTCTTCGTCCTCTGCCGAACGTGTGGAGTCGGCACAGGCCGAAGACCAGGAACCCGGGAAACAAGGGGTTACACAGCCTCTCAGCAATGGCGCCGAACCGCTCACAGAGGCGACCAACATTGAAACTCCATTGCCGAAGGAAAGCAGGAAGAGTAAGAAGAAATCCGCCCCATCCACCGAACCACGGATCCCTGACAAGGTCGCCGTCGCCGACCCTACAGCCAAACCAGCTCCAACGGCTATATTCAGCCCAGCACCTGCAGATATGGCACCCGTTGAGGAGCAAACCTCTGCATCAGCAGCTGCGGCTGTTCCGCTTACTTCAACCGCTGAAGCATTGGCGAAACCAGAAGCGGTCAGTGTTGGCATCTCGGGTGGTTGGCTGGACAAGGAACTGAAAAAGGTCGAGAAAGCTGTGTCCACGGAATTCCGCAAAGAGCTGGACTCCCTCTATCAGAATATCCAGAATGATAGAAACGTCCAGGATTCTGCCGCGATTGCCCGTCAGGAAGCTCTCCTTCGTTTGGTCTCCACCACTCTGAGCAACAACGTTGAAAAATCACTCTCTCGTATTCTCTCAGCTCAAATGCAACAGTCGATTGTTCCAGCAATTACAGCGGCCACAGTTCAAGCTGTGAGTAGCCAAGTGGGGGAAGCTGTCGCGAAATCCCTGCATTCTCTCGTGCCTCATGAGATGGGTGTGCAACTACCTATTGTGCTCAATACAGCTCTCCAGAGTCCGCAAATGAACCGAACGATATCAGACACAGTGTCACAAAAGATTTCCAAACAGATTGAGACTCAGCTGAACGATCTCATGCAGAAACATGTTGTGCCGACATTCAAGACCCTAGCAGCCTCGGCAGCTGAAAAGGCCGCATCTGAGGTTGAAGTCCGGCTCCGGAATGAGATCCGTCAACTAGAGAATGACCGACGAAGTGACCTGACGAGGCTGGAAAAGTTGGGTCAAGTCCTTCAGGCCACTGCCGAAGCATTGCAGCAAATGTCTGACACTCAAGTGGCCTTCCAAGGTCAAATCCTCAGGGATCGCCGACAGCTCGCCCTTCTCGGAGAAACCAGTTCATCTCCAGTGTCTCGCCAGGTATCCACAGCTCGTATGACACCATCGCCACGAGCCCTTCCTCGGCCCATAGTTCAGCGCCAGAAGACCAAGGAGGAGCTAGAGCTGGAGGAGATCAGCCACTTGATGAACGAGGGTCGGTACGAGGAAGCTTCAATCAAGTGGCTACAGTCGGCTCAACCATCAGAGCTGTTTGACAAACTTTTCATTCACTTCACTCCAGAGTATTTGTCGACTGATGTGTCACCGCTTATCGCGTTTTCCATCGCTGTCACCATCGGGAATACCTTGACAACAAATACGGCTCAACGACTGGAGTGGATCTCTGCTGCTTTCAATGCGGTGGATCTTGCTGTAAGTGCTAATCGATACTTGTTTGGTTTATACGCTGACACTGCTTCACTTTAGGACCCAGAAATCTCCGATCTAGCGCAACATGCACCGGCACTGTTGAGCTCCTTGATCCAGAAGCTCGAGCGGCTATACATGACGATCGCGGAGCGTGACCCGACCGATCCAGCACTGCAAATCATGCCGGTTGTTTCAAGGAAGGCGAAGGAGATGAGGGCCGCTTTGGAGGGGCCAGCTCAGCGTGGTGTTGATTTTTAGTTTTGCGGATGGGTCTAGATGGATGGCATCCCTTCACAAGTCTCAGCAGCAGCAGCGGACACAGCAGCGGAGTAGAGGATTAGATGGCCATGAAGGGTTGAGTGCTATGTCAATACTGGATACATCGACAGTGCTTTATGAGGCGATTCCGAGGTGGTGGAAGTTCGGTCATTGAAGTATGTGGTGATATTCCTGTTTCCTCCTTTTCGCTCCTAGCTTGATTTCTTCGTCGGAGTCGCGGTTCACATGCGATGTAGATTCAAGGTCCTCCGCGCTGGACTTCGGGCGTGACAAGAAGACTAACACAGAGTTGTCTGCGGGTGGCCTTTCGCACCTTCACCTATCTCCATCAGTAGCTGCTGCTCTTCGAAGACCGAAAACTTGCAAGTTCCACAAGCTACGAGAGAGTCAGCGGTTGTGTCATATCATTACAGACAGCAGGGAAATGGGCCGCTTCATTGGAGTGACGGAGTCCGAAAAGTCTGGCAGAGGTCAATGAAGTCCAGGGTTGCGGTACAAAAGCTTCCTTTCTTATTTTCGTCTCTAATCCGAGATTTGTAGTTGATCTTCTCTTTCAAGCCTCACACGACTCGAAACCAACCGTTTCCAATTGATCAGGATCCCCCGGTCGTTGTCAGAAGGTACCTCTTCAGTCGATTCTGATCCCGTCTCTACTCTGGTTAAAACTTGCCACTATGCCTTTCTTCGACAAGGAGAGTTGCGTCGTGGATGAACATGGACGAGAACATTCTCCAGAATCTTGCAGCTCAGAGGTCGCAAGAGTGCCAATTGATCGATCTAACCCTGGGCAGGCTGAAGAAACTGCACGAGTCTGAGGTGGCCATCTTGGGTGACCTATACCGAGAAGATCGGTGGCGCTGGACCCCAGAACATGGTCTGCAGGTGGGACTCCCTCAAGACTTGGAAGTCCGATGGTTCTCGCGCGAATCGGTCCTGGACTTGCAGAATCGAGTCCGCCCATTGACACTTCCTGACGGTGAGCCTGACCCGAACGCGGATCGACGTCTCGAGAGGCAAGAATATGTGTGGCTTTTGTCACAGATGCTGCATTACGAGTTGGGCTTTGCACTGACTCCTGTAAGCTGCCCTGCGCGACAAATGTAATGCGAAAGGACTAACAGTGACCTTTAGATCGATGCGACAGCGAGAATCGCGACCGCCCTCCGTGCCGGCAATGTACGCCAACCACGCAAACTCAAGCATCGTGCGCAGAAGCTGAGAGGAGATTACCGTCTTCGGAACTCGGACCTCGATTCAGAGTCAGCAGTCAACGAAGAAACTAGCACTAGCGGCTTTGATGCCCAACCAGAACGAGAACAGCAGCTCGAAAACGGAGGGACTGAGAACGGAACAGGCACCACACTCTCCTCGGCCGAGTCCGATCTGAAGAGACGACTCGTGGTAGGGAAGGCCAGAGCGGATACAGAGGCAATTATCCCTGGTCCGATGGAAAGAGACGTCGGTACCGGAGCGAGGGCTGTCCAAGTTCGGGAAGAGGAGCTGCAGTGTAATAGCAACGCCAATGAACAATATGGGTACAAAAGAGACGCTGCTGCGACTGTCACGACCACCGGCACGAGGCAAACCCCGGTGACCACGAGATCAAACTTGCGCAGTCCAGCAAAAAGGCCTTGGGTTTCTCACTCAGATACCCTTCAGAAGACTCTGGATCCGCTCCCGCCAGCACCGCGGCCAGTTCAGTTCAGTGAACAAGTCGCAGACAAGCACGCGAAGAGTACCCAGACATTCCTCGCTCTAGGAAGGGCCGCACCAGCTCCACCTAGAACTGATAATGATAGAAGCTTTGAGGAGATGAGTCGGAGGGTGAGCACAGACAATACCAAAACTTTCTCTGCTGCTAAAGCTCGCAAGACTTGGTCTCCGATCGAAACATCAACTGTACTGGACGAGGATACTGCAGGACAAAATCGAAGCACGACACCAGTGCTGGAGGGAATTACTCAGTCTCTCGGTAACGAGTACAGAGCTGGAGGCTTTCGTTACAATGTCTTGCAAAGGCCACACGAAAGCCCAACACAATCCCCTCAGACTGGGACCAAACATTTGGCAATGAAAGACACAGGTCCGTGGATCTCAGGGCCAGACAAGATTCAATTGCTTCGACCTAAGAATCCTGCCCCAACCACAGAGGAAATGGAACAAGTAAACCAACCAGGGCAACCCTGTCCCGTTTACATTGTCATTGAGGACTCGGACAGCGAGCACCATTCAGAGCATCCTCACAGGGGTAAAGGATCTTCAATAAGGAGGCTGAAAAAAAGGAAACCTTGTGTCAAGGCTGCGAGTGCCTTGGGTACGTTCTATGCGACGAGGTCGATCTTTTTAATCCCACCCAGTGACATTGGTGGCGATGATGGCGCACAACTGTCCGGTCGACGGAGAAGCTTGTCGAGTGCACCGTCGAGGATCAGCGCTATATTTCCTCAAACGAAAAGAACCGTCGCGAATCGTACTAACCTCACCAGCAGAGTTGCTGCCAAAGTTCGAGTCGGTAGGCATACCCCGGATGTTTGCACGTCGAAAACACGCCCTACCCGGCAGTCCGAAGACAATTCTGATCCGTTGGAACGGATCCCGTTTGGCTACATTCGCAGTACAGAATCCAAGTCTCGACATGGAGATCCCCCAGAAGCTGGCGCTGCAGCTAATGGGTTTCCTCCCAAGATCAGAAGAGCTCCATCACCCTGGAACCGGAACCTATCTAACCGGATACAAGTCTCGTCCCTTCAGCAAGAAAACCTCAAACTCGTACAAAAAGCAACCGTCAATCTATATAGCCCACAATCGGCTAAAACAGTCAGCTTAAAGAAGGCTGAGGTGCCAAAGAAAGCAGAGTCCCCAAAGCGAACACAAATACCCGGAACAGCACTGACGGTTTCCGATAACTATGCGCTGAATGCAAAGGTTGAAGAAGTTTGCAAGGACACTGACAAGGTCGTCGAAGAGCTGCGGCACAGTTCTCAAACAGTCGTGAGGAGCTTCAAACCCCCACGCAAGAACAAACGACCCCATTCTGCAGCCTTCAGCGAGCATGGAGGCTCTAGAAAAGGCGGCAAAAGGAAACCGAACAGCACCAACACGACATATGATCTGGTGGAAAGGACAACGCCGGGTGCTCCAAAGAGCGCCATACCACGAGATAACGACGTACCCATATTTCCTAGGATGGAATATCTCATGGGATGTGATAGGAATGGCGTCCCTGCCAAACGCGCACCTTTCCGTCGACCGACACCTCTCACCCACACTCTCCGCGACCAGGTAGGCAACCCGTTGCCCCGTGAGGCGACGCCTCTTGGGGAAATCCTGAAATGCGACCAAGAGCGACGCCGCAAGGATCCAAGAACGAAAGCGAGCTATTGGAGCCGATTCCCCAAACCATCTCCTCCGCGGAGTGGGATAGGGATCTGGCACAAGCATGACAGGTCCGCGAGGATGCCTTTTCGACGATTTTGCCCGAGGATCCCACGGACGGGGTGAAAAGTGCTGGCTTTTTTTTTTCACAAGAAGTTCCTGTTTTGGTGCATCCAAACTTGTGAGGTGTGTTTCAAGAGGACATTATGCTCTTCTGAACGTGAAGGGAAAGGCCTCAGATGGAGGAGAAATGGCTCTCCAGTGAAGCGGGTCTGGGAGGACGTCAAATATCATACTATGACAGAGTGCTACCCAGATTTCTCCTACTAAGTCCACCGCCCGCAATGCACATGATAGGATCGGACACTACATTTTCCTCGACATCATCGTTACGGCCTTTCTCCTAGGATTTCTATTTCCCTTTGAGCCATGGTAGTTTCCAGGGAATGCTTGACACATCGTGACCTCCCTGCCTCGGCCCCCCCTTCTTTAGCCCTTCGTTTCCCTCTCATGTGCCCTCTTTCAGAGCACGACCGTCTCCGCATCAACCACCCCAAACAGCTCCTGCATGGGGTCCTTGTAGTCGGTGGCGAAGCCGCAGAACGGCGGACTGACCCCGTACCCGAGCAGTCGCTGGGCCTTTGTCGGGAGCGAGGACGCCACCGACGGCGGCACGGTCAGGTACTGGTTCTCGACCTGTCGGTACATTCCTGCACACAGACGCGTCAGACCGGGCAAGAAGAGTTGAAAAGTGGCGGAGAGGGATTGAAGAGAGAGAGAGAGAGGGGGGGGGGGGGTGAAGATCCTGTCAATCAGCCGACTAACCTTTTGTAAGAAAGATCCCGACCGTCTCCCGGACTTGGTCCCTGTTTTTCAGATGATCGGTTACTCCAAAATTCACGGCGAGAGAGTTTCCAAGTGTAAAGAAGGAAATCTCAACCCCCGGCGAGGGCAGCCTTGTTCGAACGGCGAACGGGGTCCTGGACAGCGCAAACTTACGTGGTTTGGTTGGCTCCACCCGCGTGCTATATCCACGAGAGAGAGAATGTCAGTGCTTCGGTGGGAAGACAGCGGTGACGTGCCCGGGGCCCAGAACTTACGTATGTACTCCCGAGAAAGATGGTGGCATCGCCCGGCTCCAACTCGGCCGGCACGGCCTCGTGGTCGTACGGGCAGCGATCGTCCTTCCAGCGATGAGAGCCGGGAATGAGGACGGTCGCCCCGTTCTCTCGCGTGGTCTTGACCGTCGCGGTCACGCAGCCGAGCAGCACCGAGTCATGTCCCGGGCGGACGTGGTAGTCGATGTCGTCCCGGTGCAGGCCCTGCTGCCTGCTGCCCGGGTTGACCTGGAAGCCGACGGTGCTGGAGATCTGGGGCTTGGACACGGCCACCTGCCTCTCCTGGCCGATCCAGAACTCGAACTTGGAGGTCAGCAGGCGGGCCGCCACCTCGTTGAAGAGGGGGTTGAGAGCCAGGTCCACGCACGCGGGCGATTTGCCCAACAGACCGATGGCCCGCCGCGTGGTTTTGGGGAAGAAACCGCTCTTGTCGCCCCCGTCGGCGTCGAAATGCGGTTTGAGATCGCGGCGGATTTGCTCGGCGTGTTCGAGACTGATCAAGTTCGTCACGATCACGGCACCATCTCGTTCAAGAATCTCTTGGACTAGGTCGGCCGTGGTATCGTGGTGTCGGGCGTCGACTCGGGTGAGGGTAGCTGAAGACACAGGTGCCGCCATATTCAGTGCAGTCGAAACGTGACCTTCGGGTTTGGTGCAGTCGACAGGCTACGCGCAGAAGGGATGGTGGTCGACACGGTTTCGGGACGAGAGCCTCGATATAACACATCCGATAGGAATGCACCGAGTCGTGATAAAGAAGATTGAGACCCTGGACACGCCAGACACAATTCAGCAGGCTTTTCCCCTTTCTATTTGCGACGATCCATTCTACGAAAGTGATCTGGACATGCACAGCCGTTCCTTCATTCTGTAGCGGGGATGACACGCAATATGGCAAGGGGGTTTACCTGGACGAGGGCCACGGCTGGTGCCGGGCGGAGGACGTAGCGCAATGACCTGATAGGACAAGGAAAAGTACTCCTTTTTGGGAAACGGTCCAAGGGCGAGAGGTCGAGGAGGGATCACTCCAGAAAGTCAATCTGGATCTTGCATCATGTCTGTAAGAGCGTTACATGCACTCAGAGCCACTCGCCAGGATGGTTGTCGCAGGTGGATCAAGCACGTTCGAGAGAGGACGATCAATCCGGGGCCCGACGTCCACGGGTTGGAGGCATCGGTATAGATCCAGACCCTCTTCGGGGTGTATCTCGGTCTGTCGATGGCGAGATGACTAAAGATCGAATAGTCCATCCGTGCAAGTCCGATGGTTTCCGGAGCTCGGAGCCGAGGGCATGTGGGAATGGGGGACGCATGCTTGCAAGACCCGGACACTCTTCAGCTCGCCATGAAGTCCAACGTATCTTTGTCGGTAATGATGAAGACTAGCGATCGCCCTTGCCGTCTCTCCCAACACGCTCTGTCTAGCCCCTCTTTCACATGGACAACCGCTCGACGGTGTTCGACTGACCGACTGGCGATGCTCAAGCCTCTGGACGATCTCGCCATTTGTGGCATTCAGCTTGATCCTTGGCGAGTATGTCGTCGGATCAATCGTAGAGGCGCTTGCGAAGTGGGATGGGGAGGAAATGAGACAGGCGTCTCGCAAGGAACTGACAACGCTCGGGGTGTGCGACTCATTCGAAAGTTTGAGCTAAGCCAATGGTGGTAAGTACGAGGCTGGGGTTCTCCCCTTCTAAGCCAATCATAGCGGCTCCGGAAGATCTTCAAGCACCATCTGTCAGCCTCGTATAGCTTGGCAGTGTCAGAAATTCCCAGTCGCAGTTGTCGATTTGTTGTATGCACGTCAAACAAGATATTCACCGTATCGCGAGAGTCAAGCCACCCACCGCACAGCGAAGAGCACATGAGGAACCAGCTGCCTATTAAACATCAGAGCCCCTTGCTTTTGAATGTCCCGCTTGATCATCAGCATTCACACATCGTCAAAATCACCAATCGTGTCCCCTCATTTCAAAGGCACTGGAATAACAACAGCACAAGCTTGATGATCAACGCCCAGTCCCATTATCTTGTTGGCATATTTTCAAGCCTGTATCATCCTTCAATTTCCCACCCCACCAGAAAAGTTCAAAATCGATCCAGCCTTTCCGCTGCTAACAAGACAGCATGTCAAAATCCAGAGGTGCAACCGTACAAGCTCCTTAGCGTCGGATTCTGCGTTTTGGAGGCCTGGCCTCGTCCTCGTCCGAATCTTGTGTGAGATCGATATGCTGCTCTTCTCTCTGTGCACGATTGCGTTTCGAGGTTGATTTAGATTGACGACCTAGACTCCGTGTCGGTTTTGATTGAGGTATCACTGGCTTCTTGGACTTTTCTGGAACTGTTCCCTCAATGTCCTGCTCGTCATCTTCTGAGAATTGGTGTACCGCATCCGCGATTGTTCTTGTCCCGCCGTTGATCTCATCAGGTATAGCCTGCGACCCGCTGGTCGCATCCACCGATGGTGCATCAACTTCGGGCTGTCTTGCCGTTCGAAGATTCCCTGACAATGGTGGACGTGGGTGCTTGACTTCTTCAGTCTTGGCATGGTTAGTCACAACCTGGTCCATTATTAGCCGATAACCTTCCGTTTTGATGTGTAGGATTTCTACATTGGTCAAGACTTTGTGAGCTCCGCCTTCGAAGTTGAGAATAAGTTTATATACGGTACCCTCGATCAAAGAAACACGTCCGGACAATATGTCCATGCGTTTGCCCAGACGAAATACGAAATCCTCCAACTTCTTCAGCTTCCGGTTAATGTTGTCCACATCGGAACGGGAATTCGTCTCGGAAACCTCCGACGTCGGCCTGAGGACACTTGCACCGTGCTGATTTTCGGCTACCAGTGTCTGCGCCACCTCAGCAGCCGAGGCACGAACACGGTTGCTTGGGGATCCCCCGAAAATGGTGTCCTGTTTTTTGGATCGGACGTTCCGTGATCGAATCTCTTGATCGAGAGCTTGACCCAAATCTCGGACCTCGTTCGCCTGTTCGGCCAGTTGTATCCGGATCTTCTGCAGGTCATCGTGCTGGTGCGTGAGTAACTCCAATTTTGTGCTGGACTCTTTTTGAGACTGATTGCATTTGATCGTCAGATGTTCATGTTGCTGGCGGGAAGTGTTCAGTTCATCTAACAGCCATCCAGGTCCAAGGCTGCTCCAATCTGCCGCGAAATTATCGAACTGTTCTGTGATTGTCGTCAAAGATTGTGTAAATTGATCTTCGATGGTGGCGAGTTGCTTCTTCAAAGATCCGTTCTCATTTTGGATGGTGGCAATCTGTTCGTGGTTGGCGGCAGATTGACGGCAAGCTTCTTTAGCATGTTCCACAGCTGCCTTGGTATGCGAGTCAATGTCTGACCGGAGATCGCCATACTCTTTTTCAACTCTGGAATAAAGGTTCTTGCAAACTCGTTCCATGGCGTCAATTGCTTGTTGCTGTGCTGGTTTTAGCGTCTCTTGGACTTGCTGCATATCTTTCTGCAACTCTGATAACATTGCCGCAAACCCTTTGACACTCTCTCTCATCGACGATAATTTCTGTTCTAGATCATTGAAGGACTTTCGAAATGCATCATCCTTGTCGTGCTGTTGAGACTGTAACTCTTCGACTTGTTTCTTGAGCTGCTGATTTTCCAACACCTGCTGGCGCCCGTCTTCCTCAAGTTTTCGCAGTCGAATTTCCGATTTCTCGCGAGCCAATGTATGCTGCGAGAGGGCATCTCTCCATTCTTTTTGAAGAGTGTCCATTTGATTATTCACAGTCTTGAATTTTTCATCTCTGACGTCGCTCGTATCTTGTAGTAGTCGGATAAAGTGGTTTGCGGACGTCTGTACCTTCTCCCTAGAGGCGGTTTCCTCCTTCTTGGCTGTACGATATTCAGCTTCAATGTGATTGATCTTCCGTTGAGCTTCCTTAATAACGGTGGGAAATTGGTTACTTCTTTCTAGTTCCCTCTTATGCTCCTCGCAAGCGATCTTGAGCTCACCGCTGAGGGCATTCTCTTTGATGGACCAAATGCAGGCTATGGCGGCGTCCATGATAGAGGAAACAAAGGCCGTTGCGAAATCAGATGGTTCAGAGAGGATGGTAGGAATGTTGTCCAGTCTGCTGGTAGTGCTTTGCGGCGTACTTAATGAGGGTGCATCTTCTCCCCCACTGCCGGAGGCCCGGTCCTTACCAGCATCAACACTTTCAGCGGCCTGTATCGAGCTGACCTTTCCTCTACGTCGCGGGTCTCGCGATGGTGAAGAAGTCTTAGCAGCTGGAGCTAAGGCCCGGGTTTGCGAATCTGATCTTTGCATCTTCACAGCGCAATCACCTCACAGGCCGCCAGATGACATGTGTCACGATCGCGGTGTCGCTGAAGGGGTAGGAGTCTGGGACTACCGTGCTGGCGAACAACTGCGCCCAGTCTCAAGGGTCGGAAGGAGGGGTAGAGCGAGCTAGTCTGGTCGATGCGCGGGTTGCAAGGTGCAGCATCTCAAGGAAGTTGAGGCCGAAGACTGAGCGTAGGGAGCTGGCATATAACGTTTGAACGATTTGACAACCGAAGAAAATGTCGTCACCCGGCTGAGATTGTTTCTTTTGAACTTGCTCAGTTCTCAAAGCACCTGGTTTGTCCCTGCATCGTTGCTCGTACACCGCTAAACTGCAACCTCGCGGAACGCGTATCCCGCAAATGGAAGGTCATCCGATTTCGAGAACTTTTCGAGAGGTCGGTCTCCATGTAATGGTCAGTATCCGCAGGAACTCCTAGACTGGCCATATCAATGCTTTGGTCTCTCTTCGTTCGCCTTCGTCAGAGCACTCTCTACGTATTTGCCCCAATTTCCTCTATTATCACAAGATGGCGGCGGTGAGTTCTCCTCGGCTCTGCTTGTTCGTTGCTTTACTGACTCGCCCCAGCCCATAACAACCGTATCCGAAGGCCGTGAGGTTCGCGGCCTCAATCTTATTGCTGCCCATTCTCATATCCGAGGCCTCGGCGTGGACCTCGCGACGTTAGAACCAAGAGCCTCATCCCAAGGGTTAATCGGCCAAGAGAAGGCGCGGAAAGCGGCAGCAGTCATACTCCAGATGGTGAAAGAAGGCAAGATCGCTGGAAGAGCTGTTTTGGTAGCCGGTCCTCCTAGCACAGGCAAAACAGCCATCGCGATGGCAATGGCACAATCCTTAGGCCCTGACGTCCCGTTCACAATGCTCGCATCTTCCGAAATCTTCTCCCTTGAGATGTCCAAAACAGAGGCCTTGACGCAAGCATTCCGCAAGTCCATTGGTGTGAGGATAAAGGAAGAAAGTGAGATCATTGAAGGCGAGGTGGTTGAAATCCAAATCGACAGGAGCGTCTCAGGGGTAAGCCACTGTTCATGGGTTTATCCGAGGCACGGTTGACAAGGTATCACAGGGCAACAAACAAGGAAAACTCACAATCAAAACAACTGATATGGAAACGGTCTATGACATGGGCACAAAGATGATTGATTCAATGACCAAGGAGAGAGTCATGGCTGGCGATGTCATCTCAATTGATAAATCCTCAGGGAAAATCACGAAACTAGGGAGGTCATACACGCGTTCACGAGACTACGATGCCATGGGCGCAGACACCAAGTTCGTGCAATGTCCAGAGGGCGAACTCCAAGTACGGAAGGAAGTTGTCCACACAGTCAGCTTGCATGAGATTGATGTCATCAACTCGAGAACGCAGGGGTTTCTAGCCCTCTTTTCCGGCGACACGGGTGAGATACGGAGCGAAGTACGTGATCAGATCAACACTAAGGTCGGAGAATGGAAGGAAGAAGGGAAGGCTGAGATCATCCCCGGTGTGCTGTTCATTGACGAAGTGCACATGCTTGACATTGAGTGTTATTCCTACATCAATCGTGCGCTGGAAGCAGACCTGGCACCCATCGTCATCATGGCAAGTAACCGAGGAAACACTCGCATTCGAGGGACGACATACAGCTCGCCGCATGGTCTTCCACTGGATTTCCTGGACCGGCTCGTCATCATCAGTACGCAGCCATACTCTGCCGACGAAATTTCTCAGATCCTCGCCATTCGTGCTCAGGAAGAAGAAGTTGATCTCTCCGCGGATGCGCTCGCGCTTCTCACCAAAATTGGCCAGGAATCTGGACTGCGATATGCTAGCAATATCATCACGACCTCCACATTGCTAAGTCAGAAGCGGAAGGCAAAGGAAGTCAGCATTGAAGATGTCCAAAGAAGTTATAGATTATTCTACGATTCGGCGAGATCGATCAAACTTGTCACTGATTTCGAGAAGCATTTCATCAGCGACGCTGGTGATGTCTCTTTTGCGATCAACGGCACCAACAGCACGAACGGTGATGCAATGGATACAGCGTGAAGAATCTGGCGACGGCTAGCAATGCCTTGCTTCATTTGACTGTCGCTCTTCTTCCGATCACTGTCTTTGCACTGAATCTTGACACATGTCCGCACTACGTCTTCCATGGAAGATCCGCCAGAGACACCACTGCTGCAGCAGCACTTACGGACATGGTCGCGTTCACATGCAAACCAGCCCGATTGTGGAAGGCAGAACAGAATCGGGAAACGGGACTTGAGCTTTCAGTGTCTGCCCATTTGAGTAGTTAATGCTGGACAACGTTCGAAAACTTTGTTGCAGGATGGCGAACGAGGTCTCGATGTCGGGTCTTGGTAAGTGCGCAGCAAGGGAGGAGGATGACCCTAGATCCTCTGTTTGTGTGTTGTCTGGACTAATTTGTAGTCCCAGAAGCGCCCTAGGAATGAAAGGCTTCCGGCACATTCGATCAAGCATTCCCATTGTCATGTCCCAAAGTCAAGCAGATTTAGAAGTGATTGCGGTCTTCATAGGGCTTCGAGGTGACGTTGCTTGGGGACATCAGATGCGTCTACCTGCTGCTTCAACATGATTCTTCTTTCCCCGCGGGCAAGTGTTCCAAGTTCTCCACTGCGGCTCAAGCCCTCGCTACCCCAGGTGTGCTCTGGACTATGTGGGGTACCCCGGACAAGGCTCTATAAGATCGATAGCCTTGTGATGGCTCACCCACATCATGTGGGACGTTTAACTTGGGCCCAGGTCAATCGGTCTTTATTTTATATCCCGATACTGCACGGAATACAGATCTCAGTTGCGGTCACTGCGGCGGTCATACTTCTATCTCCACTGAAGCACACCGATGTGTGAATGCTAGAAAAGAACGATAGCTCCAAGGTCATACAAGATGTGGGGCCCGTCGAGGCCATGGGAATGGTCCTTCATCGCCCGCTGTCTCCAACATCACAAGCAGACTGATTGAACCGAGCCCACTCGGGCTATTCGCGCGATATTCAAGCACCTGAGTCTGGGATCACCCCTCAAAGGCCTATCACACGATCCACCTGCTGCAAGGCGACTAAAGGTGAAAGGGGGACCTTATTTGTCCAGCAAATGAGGTTCCGAGTGTCCCGACAGGGTGACTATTCATTTCGAGTCTCCAAGTTTTCAGACTATCTAGTACATCTTCTTGCCTTCGGGATATCAAGGCCCCAACACGTTTCTCATATGGCCATTCAAGAGGTGGGGAATTCTCCTCTCGCTTGAAACATGGCATAGATTTGGAGATTATTGGAGATTTATCAACATTAAGACAGTGCATTTTCACATGGCAGCTTCAGGCTTCAGCTCGTCTTCTTTTCAATCCTTTCTTGGTCTTCCCCTCGGAAGGAGTTACTGAGGGACATTTGCACACAATGTCTGCCTCGCTCGAAGAGAAAACTACGGGCGCCGAAATTGAGATGCTCGAACAAGCTCGATCAGAGGCTCGCCATGTACCCGTCCACGATATCCCACTGGACCTGGATGATCCGCACAAAGCCGCTTTGGAAGACAATCCAGAGAAAGCAGAGACCTTGACGTGGACGACTCTGCTGGCTATCGTGGTATCTTCGCTCTTATCTGTGATGTGTGGTTGGCTATGCTAACGTTTGATGCAAGTCGCTGTCGTTCTCCTATGTCTGTCCAATCTCTTGTGGCTTCACTCTGGTGACAGGGATTTTGGTTCCCATCGGCACCGACCTTGGCGACACTGAGCATATTTCTTGGATTGTTGGTGGATGGAGTATTGCGTCCTCTGTTAGCTTCTCCCTCGCAGGTTCACTGTCGGACGTCTTCGGTCGACGATGGACAATCGTGGCCGGCGAAATTATTGCTATTATCGGTTCGGTACGATAACACTGCGCCGTTTTGTGGAAGGGGAAGCTGAGCACTTCTGCAGATTATAGCATGTACTGCCAAATCGACGCTCATGCTTGCCGCCGCCTCAACCGTTATTGGCTTTGGTTGTGGTATCATTTTCGTCAGCTACGCCGGAATCCAGGAACTCGTCCCGAACAAATGGAGAGGCTTGCTAGGTTAAGAGAAGCTCCCTCAACTTTTCTCACAAGACTGACATTTGAGTCCAGGGCTTACAGAATGTGCTATGGTCCTTCCCTGGGGCCTTGCGGGGACACTGATAGCGACGACTTTGAATGCTAACACGGCCGCGAAATGGCGATGGTGCTATTACATTGTGAGCTTGCGTTGCATTTCCCTTTCTGTCAAACTAGCCCTCATTCGCGTCCTGACTGATCCAGGCCATGATTTATGGCGTCTTGAGTTTGATTGGGACCCTGGTCTTCTATTGGCCACCCACACGTCCACAGTATGATTTCTTCAAATCCCGATGGCAGCAAGTGAAGGAAGTCGATTATGTCGGTTTTCTCTTGTACACGGGGGGCTTGACTATCTTTCTGATCGGGCTGACCTGGGCTGGGACCGATGGACATGCCTGGAAATCGGCCTCTGTTGTTGCGCCAATCGTTGTGGGTTTGTTGACCCTGGCTGCCTGTTTCGTCTACGACTTTACACTGGCGAAACAACCCTTCTTCCCGTATTCCTTGTTCCGGCAAGTACGCGAGTTCACCGTTCTTTTGGTTGTGGTCTTCGTGGCGGGTGAGTAACCACAGCTTGATGTTTCATAGCCGACGGAGAATTGCTAACATTGATGCAAAAGGCTTCGTTTACTATTCCTTCGCTGGCCTACTACCTCAGGGCTCGCTCTATATGTTCACAAGCGACCCTATCCAGATCGGCATCATCGCTCTCCCCAACGGTGTTGCACAGATCCTCTTTGGCGGCATCGCGACACTTTTCATGGGCAAAGTTGGTCATTTGAAGCTCCAGGTAATTGTATTGCTAGTCTTTCAGACGGTATTCACGGCCGCTTATGCTGGTGTGGTGCCATCCGACCGGGCGGGCTGGATGGTGTTCCAATTCTTTGGGATGGGCCCTTTTGCCATGATTACTCTACTTTGCTATGTGATTGCGGGCTTAAACGTCCCCTTGCGTCACTTGGGAATTGCATCCGGGTTGATCGGCACATTTCGCAGCGGTGGCGGGAGTGTGGGCAATGCAGGTACGTTCGTCTGGGATGGAATCCTGAATACCCTCGAAGCTGACAAAAGCTCAAGTCTTCAATACAATCCTCAACGGTGAGGTTAAGAGCGAGATTCCAAAGAAGATTGCAGAGGTTGCGACTGCTTACGGACTTTCATCACAACAACTCGCGGCTCTTATTCCAGCCACGGCGCAGAATGCTGTAGGCGTCCCAGGTGCTTTCACTACGGTTCCGGGGATCACTCCGGCGGTTGAACAGGCGGCGGCAATTGCATACAGAGAGGCATACGCCTTCGCCTTCAAGAGAGTTTTCTACTCGTCTATTCCCTTCGGGGTCATTGCCATCATCTGTGCACTGTTCATCAATGATCCCTCTCAGTACCTCACCAACCACACGGCTGTCCACATGGTCAGAGAGGGAGCACTTGGAAAGACTACCCAGCACCAGAATTCGGAAGCAGAGGATGAAGCAAAGTCAGGCTCCAACACAGACAAATCTTTGGAGGGGTACTAGCTATCAGCGGAAGTGGCTAAGGGAAGGACATGTCAGGGCTGTGTCTATGATTCAAACTTGGTAGCCTATAGCGACGATAGTGAAGGAGCCTATTAGGGCGAGGGTGAAGTCGATGTTGAAGAAGACAACGAAGACGATTCGTGTAGATACCTACCAAGTAGCTAGGTATCGAGGTATATGCTATCGAGGAATTAAAGATGGAGCGTGACAGTCATTACATATGCTTGGCGCACTCTGACACACGTGACCTGCACCCAGCGCCGATACGGCGGAGCATAGCTCCTCCTCATATGGCAACATCACACCTCGAAGAGCAGCGACAAGTACTCGTACAGACTGTCATGACATTCTCGCCGTGGAAGCTTCTGACGAACACAACAAGCCGAAGTGTTCTCCCGGCACGGCACCGACGTGTAGCAGTCTCTCATCACCTCAAAGGCAAATGGGCGCGTGAGCGCTTCATACTTGTGCTTGAATCGAACCTCGCCACTTCGCCCTGGCTCTGACTTGCATTCGTTCGCCCACGATGTCTGACGACGGCTCTAAGAAAGTCGCATGCGACCGCTGTCATCGGCGAAAGGCAAAATGTGACAAGATTCTGCCGCGCTGTTCCTCGTGCGCCAAGGCAGAAGTTCCATGTACCTACAGTACGAAAGACCCCGTAATCCGACGTCAAGACATGGAGAAGCTGGAAAGAAGGCTTTGGCAGATGGAAGCCAAAAATGAGGCTTTGTCCAGTCAGCTGCGAGAAGCTCAGCGCCGTATTACTGCAACAAGTCCTCCGAGTGTGCCCCAGTCGAACTCAGGCCTACAGCAACCGGCAACCAACAACAATGAAGTCGCAAGTCAGGTCACCTTTCTGAGCTTGGGCGCCGGGGGCGAACGACAGTACCTGGGATCGACAAGTGGGCTGTTGCTTGCAAGTTTGCTACAGGCGGACAATCGCGCCAAGGTCCGCGGCGTTCAAGACGACGAAGACTATAACTCTGGTCGCACTTTCGGTTCTGCAGTTCGTGGGGGTGCCGCCACTCCCGATGTTGGTTCCTTGCCGTCAGAGAAACTCGCACGAAGTTTGGTGTCGGCATATCTAGCGCACGACCATCTCTGCTATCCATTCCTTCATCCGAAAAGCCTGCTCAGCAGTCTTGATTCTATCTATAGTGACAACTCGTTTTACCGCAAACGGCACGTCGAAGCCTTCACATTGGACATGATCCTGGCCATCGCAACCGCTCAGGTCTCAAAGTTAGACTGGCAAGTGATGCCGGATGCAGAGACCCACCATGATAGGGCCATGAGCAGACTCGGCATTGTCCTGGGAAATGGTGGCAGCATCGCTTTGCAGGCATTACTCTTGTTGTGTCAGTACAGGATAGGAAGCGGCCTGTACGACGCCTCAGCCAGTTTATGGCACCTCGTCGGCACAGCAGCAAGAATGTGCTTTGAATTGGGCTTGCATCGTGAATCTGTCTACTACTCTCCGGAACCGGCCGCGACAGAGATCGATGAGGCAGCATTTGAGGATTCCGAGGTCAGGAGAAGATGCTTCTGGTGCGTCTTAGCTATGGACAGGATTACAAGCATCACTTTGGGTCGACCCCTGGCAATACACCTGGATGATTTCGACACCGAGCTGCCTCGCGCCGAAGCAAATATCGTCGTCAGTCCCGATAATAATCTATCTCCTTCTGAGCCCGTTGGAAGTGCTCCGTATCAACTTAGAACGGCGATATTTGTCCTCATTGTCCGATATCGCTTGATTTGTGGCAAAGTATTAACCTCCCTGCACAACGTGATACGTTCCAAGGCGGACAGTTCTTTCGACTTCGAAAGCAGACGAAGGCATATCATCGAGGAGCTGGAGTCCTGGCGAGCGGACTCATTCACATTGCCCATCGGGGGTTCCCTGAGCGATTCCGATAGATCAAGTTTTCGATCCCGGGAGTGGTACGATCTTTTGTACCAGAATGCCATCTTGATGCTCTATCGACCATCCCCATCTTTTCACGATGTCCTCTCAAGCATCGATACACTACAACGCATTTATGACGCCTCACAAAAGTCTATTGCCATCTACGCCTATCTGCACAAGTCACGTCGGATTAACTACACTTCAATGACACTTCATGGGGTCTTTATCGCCGGCCTATCATACATTTATGCTATTCGTTCTCATTTGCAGATCCGTCGCCGCGAGCTATTGACTGGCATCAGTGGACCGTCCCCCGGAGGTTTGTCAGCAGATCCAACTATAAACCAGATGGTGAACACGACACGCGATTGTTCTAATGTGCTTGTGGCCGTCAGTGAGAGATGGAGCACCGCTCGCAATGCGCATCAGGTATTTGGCAGACTGAGTGACGCCCTCTTGAGCGAACTCATAGAATTCCAAAGCCAAGCGCGAAATGGTCTCGGTAACGGCGGCTCCCAATATCCCGTTGCCGGTCAAGAACAGGACCAGAATATGTCAACGATGTCGATCACTCCTGCTGCACGACAACAATTCTTCTCGTCAACAGCTCCAAACGGCATGGATTTCAGCTACCAAGACTGTTTCCAGGATCTACAGAACCTCTACACCACCTATGATTTCGCCAATGTCTCCATGATGCAGGCCTCTCAAGACTGGCTCTACGAGATTCAATCGCTCGACCACTCTATAGGGGCAGGTGCCTATGTAGACGGAGCGAATTGAGACAAAAATAACTTTAGACATACGCCACGTTAGTTGAAATATATCTTCGGGAGTTTATATGCGCCCTCTCTCTAGGACTTAGGAGGAATGTCGACATACCTGCTCCTGAGGTATTCGTCATTCCTGTTACGAAGGCCATCTATACGAAATGAGAATGCAATACCAGCTGATACGCCATTCAGAATGCGACTATACTCTTGTCAGCTACCCGGAGGATGCAAGTCGTGCATACCGAGATGATCCTACATATGTACGGCAAGGATATTCGAAACATCGACTCGCTCAACTCATCAAGAATGCTTCCATCTATCATCTATACCAGTCTTTGCCGAAAAGCGATTCGAGTTTGGCGACCATTAGTATGGTCCCAAGCTAAGGGTATCTATCCTCATACTAGACTGGAAAGCCAACGTTTGAGTTGTCTTCTTTATCACCCGACCGTGCTTGAACAATACTACCTGGAGAAGCCTTAATAATAGGTTCTAGCCAAAATGCTAGGCCGCTGCATCTATGACTTGGGAAGCATTCGTATATCGTCTGCATACCGTGATGCTTGCACCAGTTTCTAGAGGTTCCACGATACCTCAGTAATCGATCCAGGCATTACCACAGGATGCATCCAATTCCTAGTCACTGGCCTGCTCTGCATGATCAGATGATGGAACCGCTGTGCCTTCTGGCGAACTGGATCCTCGATGAGGTCTGATGCATCATCGCCGAGGACTGCAGCAACGGCGGTATGTTCGTGGCCGTTCAACTTGAGCAGGTCTCGAACCCTTCCCGTTGATGATGCAGTGCCGAGTGTTCCCGCGCTGGTGACTACTTTGATGTACTTCGCAAGGATGTCATCACTACACTCTTCGATTGCATCAATGCCTGTTCTCATTGCCCAGCTCCGAATTCTCCTTCGTGGTGATTGCATTCCGCGCAATATACATCTCGGAAAGCTGGTCCCCCGTTACAACCTCGATATTGCCTTCAGCCACCATGCGAGCCCTGACAATGGCATATCGCCTGCTGCACCAGACACATTTCCATTGAGGCTTGGACCTTTGCGCTGAAAATCACCCCCAGCGCCTTGAATTACGAATGTCGACATTGGATGGTAATGGGTAGAGGCACCAATTTTTGAGTGCGAGGGTTATAACAGCTTTGTCTGAACAGGCCTTTCTGCCATCCAAACGGTGACAAGGACTTCGACATGCCAGAATCTGCTAACTACTCATCTGAGAGTATACAATGCAATTTTGCTGGAGCTGCGAAGGAATGCTGGCATTATTCCCCTGGCTTCAGGATGACTTTCCTTGCCAGCTGTTTCTCAAAAATCTCATACCCATATGCAGCTTTTGACATTGGCAAGCGATGGGTTATCATACTTGAAAGCTTTTCCTTGTTTGCCACGACAATCTCCAACGCTTCATTGAACACCGCCTGAACAGGTGCCCGGCCTAGATTAATACTGTTTGACTCGTCAGCACGCTCTCCCTGCTTGGATATTAAACATTGCTTACTTCAAGTTCTTTTGATAACACTCGAGAGCCGTGAAAGGAAGGTCACCCTGGTGAAATCCTATCGAGGATAGCACGCCACACGGTCTTAACAGGTCGAAGGCTGAGCGCAAAGCTGGTTTGTTGCCCACCACCTCTACGACCGCGTCCGCCCCGCGACCCTCGGTCACATTCATGACCATCTCTTTCACATCGTCTCGACCCAGCTTAAGGGGAATGCCTCCTAGTTTTGCCGCCTGGTCCAGTCTGTCGTCAACACTGTCGACGACATAGATCGTCCTTACTCCTTTCGATCGTGCAGTCAGGATCGCGCAGAGGCCAACCGGCCCACATCCAAGACACACGAAAACTGCATCTGCCAAGTTCTGCGTTTTCAAGAGACCAGACTGGTTGTCTAGATGGTAGGTGCCATTGCCGTTTTCCATACCAGGCGTCCGGAAATACTCGACAGCTCTCATTGCGCCGTAGTAGCCGGTTGGAAAGATGTCGCACATCATGATCAATAAGTCATCGTCAACATACTCCGGTGCTGGGTGCAGAGTGCCATCTGCAAACGGCACTCGAACGTATTCTGCTTGTCCTCCAGCAAGACCTTGAGTGCCGAACGGTGCTTGGCCCATAGGACATCGATTGCTATAGCCGTGTCTACAAAACCAGCATGACAGGCTGAAGGCACGGAAGGAATCGGTCAGCTAGTCTGTAACCTGTTTCCGACGAAAGATGGCCTGGGGCGACTTACCATGCTGGGCTGAATGTGCACACCACCTTCTGACCGACCTTGAAATTGTGCACTTCTGATCCCTTGTCTTGGATGTATCCCACAAACTCATGTCCCTGCCCAGGCGAGTAGGTAAGTTTGGCTCAAGTTAAAACCTATGATGGCTTGTCGACCACTTACCATTATATGGCCAGTTGCAGTCTTTTGATGCCCTCGATACATGTGTAGCTCCGAGCCGCATATGCCTGCTGTCGCTACTTTCACTATAGCATCTGTGGGATCTTTCAACGTTGGTCTTGGGCGCTTCTCCACATCGATCTTCCACGGCCCATTGAATATAACTGCATCCATGGTGATGCTGCTTCTCCCTTGATGCTCAGTGTTGATTACTGCACCGTCTTTTCTTGGATGTTTATTTCAACAAGAAGCTACTTTGAGCCAGCAGGGGAAACTAGTCTCTTATCTGAGCGGGATGAGAAACCACTCTCCAAACAGTCGCGTCACGAGCAACCCCAAACATTCAGAGGCAGCGATGTCAAGGTCTTGAAACACAACACCAACTACTCGGTTACAACGGCAATATCATCATTTGACATTCCCTCGAAGCTTAAATGGCAACGGCCACAAGGCTCCGGATACGGCAACACGGGGCGTCCACTCAATATCAGCAGGCAGCAGTTGGCCGGTGCCATGTTCGTCAATCAGTGGCAAAATTCCATCTTCTCCGCCGGAGCAACCTCCTCCAGACGGGATATCTTCAAAAACTAATTGCGGGCAGATTGCGTGAGGTTGTAACCATGCTGTCATTGACGGCGCGGAGACCGACGCCGCCACATCGCGGGATCTGGGCCGATGGGATGACCGTGACCATGCGGGCCTCTGTTCCAAGGGATGGACCTAATTGTAGCCGAGAACACCCTGGCACCTGGGAACGTGTTCTCGCCTCGATGTTCAAAGCATCCCCACAAGGAGAAGCGGGCGGAAATGTTGCGGTGCACTATTCCGACAAATAGACTGCACAATGGCTATGAACAAGTCTAGGTAGTTCCACCAAAAGGGCATCGCGTGCTCACGTGGAACTCGCGACGCCATATCAGCGTCTTCTTCGCTGAGATATCTGCCAGGTCCTAGTACTTACCTAGCTGGCTCGACAGCGAGTATCAAGCCCGAAGTGGGATCGAAGGCATCAACGATGGTGGCACCAACTCCTCCAACGCTCGACCCCAAAGAGCTCAATAAATTCTACATCAATGGCCAATATGTGAGCCCTGTCTCGAAAGAGACGTACATTCTGCGAAATCCCAAGGACGACACCATCGTCGCCGATGCTGTTCCAGTGGGGGGACCCGAAGATGTCGATGCCGCGGTCGCAGCGGCCGAAGCAGCATTTACAGGACCGTGGAGCACATTTACAGCAGCTCAGCGCTCAGAATGCCTGCGACGTCTGGCAGATATTCTGGAAGACAAGATGATGGATATCCTGACTTTGGACTCCCTCACGACCGGAAATCCGGTATCATTGATCCCTTCACGGGAGAAGAATTATATCAAATCCAATTTGCTTTACTACTGTAGGTCGAGCTATCCGAGCAGCCGTTGCAACAGTGCTGATCGTCGCACCAGCTGGCTGGACCGACAAGCAGAAAGGAGATTATTATCCGGCCGATGATGGCTTTGTCAAGCTTGTTCGTCATGAGCCGTTGGGGTGAGTCTGCGCCTGTCGTGAGGAGGAGAGGAGGAGGAAGCAGCTGATGTCCAGAATAGCGTGTGTGTCGGCATCAATCCTTACAACTCGCCAGTGGCCTCGTTCGTCATCAAAGCAGCGCCGTGTTTGGCGACGGGTAATGTGTTGATAATCAAACCGTCAGAAAAGAGCCCCCTTGGATCGTTAGCACTTGCTCCCTTGTTCGAACAGGCTGGGTTCCCCAGAGGAGTCGTACAGGTCGTTTGTGGCGATGGCCGGACAGGGGCGCTCTTTGCTAAGCATATGCGTGTCAGAAAGGTGAGGCCTCACATTGAGCGGGTTACTTGATGCCGGGTTGCGCGCTGAACATATCTAGATCAGTTTCACCGGCAGTGTTGCCACTGGTAAGAAGATCCAGATCGCCGCAGCTGAAAGCAATCTGAAGAGGGTCACACTTGAACTTGGTATGTACTCAGCACGGCGACTCATTGGGACCAATGCACTCATTCCCGTGACCAACAGGGGGCAAAAGCCCAGCGGTGATCTTCGAGGACGCAAATATTGAAAATGCACTGACCTGGTAGGTGACTCCGAGCTGAAGCTACCGGCTGAGCACTGACTAGGGGTATTCCAGGACGATCAATGGTATCCTGGCTCGTTCAGGGCAAGTCTGTGTGGCAGCGTCTCGGGTCTATGTACAAGAATCTATCGCCGACCAGTTTATCGAGGCCTACACGCAAAGAATGAAGGATGCAGCTTTACGACTGGGTGATCCGCAGGACCCTGAGACGACGCTCGGTCCACTCGCAGATGCAGCCAGCTTTGCAAGAGTCCAAGCCATGGTTGAAAAGGGCAAGACTGAAGCACAGCTGGTTGTCGGTGGCGTGCAACATGGCCCTAGCGGCTGCTTTATCGAGCCGGCCGTGTTTATTAACCCGCAACCAAATGCGGAGATCTACAAGAACGAGGTCTTTGGCCCGGTTGCAGTCGTCAAGACATTCCAGACCGAGGAAGAAGTCCTGGAACTAGCCAACGACACCGAGTTTGGGCTCATGGCTGGCGTTTTTACGAGGGACATCAATCGCGCCTTGAGAGTGTCGAGCAAGATCGATACCGGTGTCTGTGGCATCAACTGCATTTCTTACATGAATATTCAGGCTCCATTTGGCGGCAAAAAGGCTTCTGGCATTGGGCGAGAGTTTGGCGAATATGTGAGATCCGTTCTCGAAGCGAATGGACGATGTCTAACATCCCTAGGCACTTCGATCGTTCACAGAGCCAAAGACGGTTTTGATCAAGTAAGTGTCAATCCTCGGGGACCGAACACAGTGCAAGCATTAGCTCACCTAAAAGCAGCCTCAATTCCTAAGGACAGAAAGGTGGGCTGCAAAAGGGACGGGTTCGATAGTTGTGCAGGTTGGCGAAACTGAAGGTTCGAGATATGATCTCTGCTTTTGCAGCCTCGCCAATGGCACCTTTCTACATTCTGTGGCTGGAACCAATCTGAGCAGATTACATAGTGTACCAGCCGAGACACGTTGGAAACTGGAGTAGTTGATCTGTCCCCTTGCCGTACACCCTTCCGCAGGGTGTGCTGGCAGGTGTTTAGAGACAAGGCTCTGGAAGCGTAACCCCAGTGCACAAATGCAGCAATAGACCTTTAAGGATAATGGACACTGTGGATACTCGTACGCTCTCAAAGTCTTCGTTGTGGGAACCCCGCCAACCCCCGCTGCTGGAGGATTGCAAGCCCAAGGGAGCTCTCGTCGCCAGAGCCGAACCTACAAGTATAGCTCCATCACGCCCAGTTCAACGGTCGAATCCTGAGAAACCTCGACCACCCACGACTGGGTTCCCTTGCTTTCTCACCTGCTTGTTCCATCATGGCAGGATCAACGACAACGGACCTGAAACTGCCCAAATTCGACGAGCTGCCCCTGCATTCAAGCCATCCCCTTCACTCGGCGTGGTTTGTGTGGGGAGAGGACGACCAGCTGGGATGCCTCAACCACTTGACTCCAGCACGCGTTAGGAATGCTTCAGCCACCGAGATCCAGACCGGTGTTTCCGTGGGCTTGAACTGGGGCCTGGACCAGATGAAAGTGCCGCCGTTTTACCGGACCAAGCTGAGGCATGAAATCCTCCAGCTTGGGGAGTGCATCAATGTGAGAACCGAAGCCCCGTGGTTGATGGAGGTGGCTCACTAATTTCTGACCTGGTTTGGTGCTTTCAGGACGACAGCCTCGAGTTCAACACGCAGACCAGCAGCCAGTGGGACGGTTTCAGGCATTGGTCGTTCCCCGATGGGAGATTCTATAACGGAGCAACGCAGGACCAAGTTCGAAAGGGCACGTCGACCAGGAATGGCATTCACGGTTAGTTATGTCGCGGCGAGGGTTTCGGTGATGCAACAATCGCTGCTAGCCCAGTGCTAACCACCCATGACAGAATGGACCAAGCGAGGTATTGTTGGGCGAGGAGTCTTGATTGATCATTACGCATGGGTGACGGAGCGAGGGGATCAAGGCTACGACCCCTGGGAGTATCACAAGATCCCCGTATCAGAGATTGAGGCTATTGCAAAGGCCAGAGGCATTACATTCCAGACAGGTGATATCCTGTTCCTACGGACAGGTAAGGCGGGCACTCGGCCTCTTGCAAGATCTCCTTCGAACGTTCCCGTCGCTGACACCAGAGCATTTCTAAATACTTTTTCAGGTTTCGTCCACAGATACCAGACCATGCCCCTGGACGAGCTCACGGCCAAGATGGAACAACCAGAATACTTCTACCCTGGGCTCGAGGGCTCCCTAGACTCCCTCCGTTGGCTCTGGGAGACTCGCTTCGCCGCGGTCGCCGCCGATAGTCCGGGGTTCGAAGCCTGGAGTGCCGGTCTCGGAGACTCGAGCGAGCAGTTCCGCATGCACGAAGTCATTCTGTCCGGGTTTGGCCTGCCGATAGGGGAGTTGTTTGACCTTGAAGCGTTGGCACGGGAGTGCAACAAGCAGCAGAGATGGACGTTCTTCGTCACCAGCATGCCCTTGAATGTACCTGGAGGTGTAGGGAGTCCCCCCAATGCTGTGGCGATATTTTAGGAGCAACCGGGCTTGTGCCCACCCTTCACGTGGTGAGCCACAGCTCGAACCTTGAGCTACAAGAACCTCGTTGTATCAGACTGGGCAAGCCAGTGCGCTCTCCTCCATTGCACCAAGAAATTTTCTACTTGCCCCGCCCGGAGCGGAACCCCGTGCGGTGCAATCTCTCATCGGAGTCGCCGCCGAAATCGTGTAGAAGGCCGGCATTCAGCCCACACACACACACACCACCTGACTCGTTTCTCCCTTCCTGTCAGCAATGGTTCTATGGTGGGTCGAGATTGCGCACAAGCTCTCGATCACTGGCCAAACCCTCGCCACGCGGGACGCCGGTGAGCAGCTTTCCCTGGGAGGCTTCGTGAGGCTTCTCCGCCTGGGCGGATTTACAAGTGGATCCGGGATCCCTCGTACAGCCCAAAGCGGGTAATCAGACAAGTTTTTCTCTTTTGCTCTATCATACGGTGGATCCCACAGACCCAGAGGTAAAGGACAACCGAAAAACCATACTCGACGGCATCTGCAGCAGGTTGGTTGGAAAGTGAGCTCTTGACTACCGCCTGAACTCTTCCGTCCAGGCCACTTTCAACGTCAAGGCTGCCTTCCCCCTACAGATCTCAAGCGACCGGGTCAGCCTTGTATCAGCGTCTCAAGGAACCAACAGATATCAAGGTTTACAAAAATGCAATAAAACACCCCGTCGCCCCACCTCAAATCGAGGGATCCGACATGGCGTGAGCTTCCGAACCACTCACACACTTCGCCATGAGTGGTAGAGCGGGCTTGACCAGAAGGCTTGAACGGTTCTTCCACTACCGAGTACCATGGCCGATAACGGGGGGTTTTTCCATGCTCGCTTCCTAGTACCTGGAGATGACTATGGGCCAACAAGGTTTGCAAGGTTTGCGTGAGCGCCTTGGGTCTTTGTACGAGGTAGCACATCAACCAGCGTTCCAGATCCAGGATTGTGGATACGCGACCATTCGGTCTCCTCCCAGCCGTCAACGCAACGACGACAATTTCTTCTGGAGAGACAGGTCTACGTTCGAGGTGTCCTAGTGACCCTGTGTCGGCCTCTCCTCCGCCTCTCCTCCTTGATATAGATTCCCCAGATCCCCCAGACTCTGACCCCCAGCTTTGCTTCAAGCAGGAAGATAACGACCTCTGTGACTTTTGCCCTTGATCAATCACATACAACCAGGAGGTACATTACACCCGTCGTTGAGGCGCGCCCAAATCAGCAGAAATGGAACTATCACCATCGCTGGTCCGGCTTTTTGTGAGTGGCGTGCTCTGTCACCTCAAAACTTCGTGTAGTCTGTCTTACTGACATGGCTCCTCCTGGCAGATCGTTCTGTTCGTTGCTCTGGGCTCCTTGACCTATGGTTACTGTGCGTCGATTATCGCAACCACACTGGGACAGCCTTCCTTCATCAGCTACTTTGACCTCGACACTCGATCCAACGCCACCGACTTGACTGGTGCCATCAATGGGCTTTTCCAAGCTGGCGGTCTCTTCGGAGCCCTCTCCTGCATCAAGTCGGCAGACTGGCTCGGTCGTCGAAAGGCAATCTTGGCAGCCGCCATCGTCACAATCATCGGAGGAGCTCTGCAGGCTGGCAGTGTGGACATTGGAATGTACATTGTCATGAGATTCGTCACTGGCTTTGGTATCGGTGAGTTGGTTCCTCCCCATCTGCGTGGGCGAAGTACCTTGATCCAACTAACCCGCCAAAATACAGGTGCTTTGGTCACTCTGGTTCCGCTTTATCAAAGTGAAATCAGCCCTCCTCGCATCCGGGGATGGCTGGTCGGCATGCACGGAGTCCTTATTTGCGTCGGCTATGCCGTAGCGTAAGTCCTTTTGATCTCCTTCGAAGCCCGTCTCGCGTTTATCACCCAGATAGCTTTTGGGCCTTTCAAACCAGCCCTGTACACCCTTCTGACTCTTCTTCTCCTTAGGTCGTGGGTCGGGTTCGGGTTCTACTTTGTGAATGCCAGCGGTGCTCAATGGCGAATCCCCTTGGCCATCCAGTGCTTCCCGCCATTGTTCCTCTCGCTGGGGGTGCTGTTCCTCCCAGAAAGCCCGCGATGGCTCCTCGATCACGATCGCGTGGAGGACGCCTTCAAGTCCTTCAAGGCGGTCCGCGCAGAGACAACCGACAGCATCCTGGACGACGAGGCCGCCATACACGCCGAGTTCAATTTGCTTCAAGGCCAGATCCTGCACGAAAAGCTGGAGGCCCTGTCCCTGATGGATCTTTTCCGCAACCCGCATATGCGAAAGCGATGCATCGTCGGGTTCCTCACGCTCTTTGGAGCCCAAGGCACCGCCACCCTGGTCATCAATAGTGAGTGGCGTGCAGGTGCCAAGTTGATCGTTCACTGACCGTCTGATCCCTCCTAGACTATGGTCCGTCGCTCTACGCTTCTCTGGGATTCGACACCGTCAATACTCTGCTGATCCAAGCTGGGTGGATCACTGTATGTCCTGTGGGCAACTGGATCAATGCTTTGGTGGTGGACAAGGTCGGCCGGACGCGGTTGCTGAGTAAGTTTCCTGGTGTGATCGGTGGTCTAGACGCCCTCTCCCATCTGACACCTGCGCGCCTCTAGTGTTCGGTTTCGCCGGCTGCGTCATTGCGCTGATCGGAGAATGCGTGACGGTGGACGTCTTCCAGCGCACCGGTCACCGCAGCGCCGCGAGCGCCGCCGTCTTCTTCCTCTTCCTGCACATCGGCTTCTTCTCCGTCTCCTGCGACGCGACCTCGTACATCTACGCCAGCGAGATCTTCCCCACGCCGGTCCGCGCGAAGGGCTTGGCCATCTCCGTCTCGGGCCTCTTCGTGGCGACCATCATCTTCCTCCAGTGCGCGCCCGAGGCCTTTGCCAACATCGGCTGGAAGTACTACATCGTGTTCATCGTCATCACCACCATCATCTTCTTCGTCGTCTGGTTCTGGTTCCCCGAGACCAAGGGTCGCTCGCTCGAGGACATCGGTGAGTTGTTCGGCGACTCGATCGAACCGGCACAGCTGGACGACAAGGTCCACGAGGAAAATGTGGAAGAGGTGCATCCCGGCGCGGGCCATGAGAAGTACTGATCGGCGGATGTCATCCAACCCGAATCCGAAAAGGATGTATTACTTGGTCCACCGTGCGATAGACTGGAAGACTCGAAAAGGACTGGACAATGCCTAGTTACTCAGGCTGGACCTCTTGTACGAAGAGGATCTGAAAGTGTAATTACTATTTTGATGCTTAGACGAGATGCGACAAGAACTTGAAGGCTGAGCCAGACTCGACGCGTTGGCGGCTGAACCTAGCATTTGAGAAATCATACTGCGATCAGAAGTACCTTTTGCTCATCTGGTTCCCGAGTTGTTAGCAAGCGGTGTTTCCTTTCCCCACATTGCCTCGCACGTAGAAAAGGAGTGCCCCGAGGGTGACCAGGTTCGCTGACGTTCCAACACGAAACCGTGGTGTGATTGAAGAGGAAAGGATGGAAAATCATGCTCCAGATGATATTTCGTCTGCTATATCATATATTCCAAGAACATCAGATGGTGGAATCTCGATGTCTTGGATCATCCCTCCACGAGGCCGTCATCCAAACCGACCTCGTCGAACAGGCGACTCTTGTGCGGACCGAACCAATCTTTCCATGCTCCTTCAATTCTAGCCATGCCGCCGCCATCTCAGACTTGTTTGTGCACAGGCAGCATGGGGATCTTGATATCTCCCATATCTCCCGCTGGGCACCTGGGGTCGAAGGGGGCGTCATTCTCGCATCTGGGGGATGTGGAGCAGCTCCGCAATTTCTCCCACGGGGCAAAATGTTCCATCCTTTTGCTGTGCTCTGGTTGGACCATGTTCGATCCCTTGCCTGCTTGCATTCCGTGCCACATTCACGATGGGGCTGCCTTCTCGCGCAAAAATCGACCTCGTTGCTTGTCGGAGTCTGCGGCGCGAGCTGGGTGATGTTTCCTCATTCCAGTTGATGTCGCCATTTTTGCGCGCCCTGCACTGACGGAGCCGAGTCCCCGCCCGTCTCAATGGCCACCAAGGCTCTGCGCAATAAGAAATGCCTCTACTGTGAACGGAAATTCGGCAAGGCCGAACATCTGAAGCGCCATCAGAGAGCGCACACGGGCGAGAAGCCGTTCAAGTGCGCACACTGCGGTCGCGAGTACGCACGCAGCGACGTGCTCATGCGACATGTCAGGAACCACCACTCGACGGCGGAAAAGCAGACCGTTGCCGCCTCGCCAGTCGTCAGTTCACAAACCCACGGGGATGGGCTAGTAGTGGAGGGGCACGCAGGTCAATCTCCTCAGTTGCGTCGAAGTGGTGGCCCGGCCTCTTCGATCCAGGCGCAATGCTCGAACAGTGACCACCTGGCGTCGACCACAGACAGCCAGAGACAGAGCACGGGAAACCCGGCAGATCAATCGAATCTCGAGGCCTCACAGCGAGCCAAACCCTTGCTCGGTCCCGAAAACCTGGGCGATCGAAGGGCTGCAGCTCCGCTTGAAGGCTTCGAAGACTGGCTGGGGCCTCAAGATCTGCCTCTGGCCGCCAACATGTGGGACGACCTGTCCCATTTCGATTTCATGAGCTTTACGAACGATGCACGCCTGAGTCTCTCCCCGTACCGCCCGCGGCAGACGCTCCATTCGCCGCCCAAGGACAACATATCCGATGAGAGATATGCCAAGATAGCAAGCCTGTGGCCAACCAAGAAACAGACGCCTCGCCGATTGATCCAGACTCTCTGGCGTGACGTGGCTTCTTTCCGCGAGGAGAATATCTTCTCCCAATCACTCACAACGGGGCTCGACGAGAGCGCACCACCAGAGACTGCTCCGGGCGAGGCCACGGATTCGAGATGGGGCTTGGATGAAGAACGGAGGGCGAGATTGATAGAGGACTGCGCCCCTCTGAACACCTCGTTCTGGCCCAAAGCGAACAGGGGCGGTGAACCGAGCATCAGAAGCAGTGCGAGCGACGCCCTCAGTCAAGATAGCAGCACGCCTGCAAAGTTCCCCTCGACGCAGATCCTGGACATCAGCCTCGACGTCTTCTTCCGGCGCTTCCACCACTTGATGCCGTTCATCCATGAACCGACGTTCTCCGCCAAGAAAACCTCCAGCACCCTCCTCTTTCCCATGTGCCTGATGGGGCTGACGATGCTCGACTCGGTGCGTGCGAAGAGATTCGTGAGATCTCATCTGGGCGACGCCATCGAGAGATGCCGCCGCGACCTGGTCGTGAGCTCGCAGAGAGGGGGTCAACTGGGCGACTTCTTAACCACCGTGGCAGCTGCGGTCCTGCTGTTGTCCCTGGCGGCGATCAATCCAAAGCAGCCACCGTCTGAACATTCTCGACTCCTCTACAACGAGACCATCAATGCCGCTCAGCGGCAGGGACTATTCACCCCTCAAGAAGGCGAAGAGCTGTCGTCGGCCCTCTTTCAATCGCTGGACAACGGTGCCATGTGGAGGGCTTGGACGCGCATAGAATCCGTCAAAAGATTGATCCTGTGCCTCATCATGTCTGACGGGTTTTTCTCAGCCCTGGACGATCATAACCCCATCATCAGGACTGAGCAGCTGCATTTCTATTTCCCCTGCAAGACCGAGTTGTTCCAAGCCGCCACGGAAAGACGATGGTCTCTGATGGTCAATGCGGGGTCATTGACGATCATGCCTCTGATGATTCCACAACTGGCGTCGGCCATTCTCCCTCCAGCCTCAGATGCTAGTGCGATTGGGTTCTTCGGTCTTTTCTCGACTGTCTGGGTTCGAATGTAAGTGTTATCGGTTCCTGGGAGCCCTTGAGGCCATTCCTTGTCAGGATTCTTTACTTGCCAACTACAGGTACCAGAGCCTTCGATTGTCCTTGCTAACACGAACCTGCTTGCAGTGTGGAGGCAAGACACCGGTATAGTCTTCTCGCTTCCGAGCACTCCAACCTTCCGATCCCAGCAGATATCTTTGCCCACGATGAGCACGCCGCGTCGATTGCTCCATTCCTGATGAAGATGTGGACATCGTACGGGGACACGATGTGCACCATCAACCCTAATTGCGAGGCTTTCTGGCACCATCTGAACATAAACATGACGGCTGACTTGGGAGTATTTGAGATCGCTTCCGGCAGGGAAGGGGCAGAAAGCGCAAAGAATGCCCTGGACGATATCGCGACCTGGTCCCAGACGGCCGCGGCGCGGCGGGCATGTCTTCATGCAGCACATACCTTCTCGTGCATGTCGAAACGCCGGCCCATTGACGGGACGTCGTACGAAGCAGAGATCGCTCTGGTGCACGCGGCGCTGGTCCTTGGTCTCTACGTCTTCGTGATGCCGCAGCCGGACGAAACAGATAACCAAGAGCAGCAAGCGCAGAGACCGCCCGAGGCATTTGAACTCCTGGACCAAGTGGACTGGAACGTCGTCGGCGAAACTGGCTTTACCAGCTACGGTACCACCAGCGCCGACATCGACATGGGCATAGACCCTACCATGTGCGCAGCGAAGGGATTCATTCAGAATGGTGGTCCGATCTCTTTCTCGGGCGTTGTGCAAAATGGCGGCTACGCCTCGGCGAGGAGGGTGCTTCTCGATTATGTCTATCTGTTGGAGGACGTGGGAACGCGCTACAATGTGATGGAGTTCTGTCACATCCTGCGCATACTGAGCGATGCTCTTATCGATTTTGACTCGGGAGGCGCCGAATAGCGTAAAAAGCGCAAGGGGCTCTGGCCGAGGGTAAGTATTTGTACATATGATGGCAAAGGTAGAATCTTTGTGTCTGTGCTCATTGCCTTACGTGTGTGTATGTACCTGACTTTGTCGATGTGTACCTAGCGAGCTAGGTACCTAGTGTGTAGAAGGGAAGACGACGAAACCCGCGGCAATGACGTGATACGCTTGACAAACCTTCGAGCAGGACCGCGACCGCAGCAAAGTTTTGTCTTCCCACACACTCTCGAGGTATCGTTTGCAATGCTACCGGTCATGTAGGACAATGACCACGCTGAACCTGCAACCAGACTCCTCCCTCCAGCATGTTCACCTCCCGCCACCCCGAAGACCGGTTCCGCCTTCGCATGCACCGTGCCCGCTCCGTCGACCTCACTAACGAAGAGCTCGTCGAAATCCGCGCCGCACAACGCACCTTTGAAGGGGCCTACATCCGCACGTCGCTCTCGCAGTTCTCCTTCGCCCTCGTGGTCCTCAAGATCTTCACCTCGGAATTCTACTCCATCGGTGCGCTCTTCGCGGCGTACGCCGTCGGGCTGCTGCTAGTTAGTGCCTACCGCAGACAGCAAGGGAATCGACAGTTCTTCAACGAGGTCGGGGATGACGGGCTGGGCAGGAAGAAATTCCGCACGAGTGGGAATGTGGTTATTGCGCTGACGGCACTGAGCATTGCGGCGTACGTGAGTCTGCTTGTCTTGACCTTGAAGCTGGAGACATGATACAATACTACAATGGCGGCAAGCCATGATACATCCGGTGATGATAACGAGAGAGCCTATGCGATGATGCTCAGCCATAAGAGACCGAGCTAGACTCGACCCAAGGACGAGATGAAATATGAGGCAACAGCCCGTGATTGGGCTCTCATTGCTCTGGTCGACAACCTCCTCGGCTCAAACATATACAACCACCCAGAAACCACGCGGAAAATGAGCTTTGGTAAAGCTGTTCGCTTAGGCACGTCGTCGACGTCTGCACGGGCTACTTAGGAAGCACACGGACGCATCGAATGTGGCAGTTTCGACGGTTCAGAACCCTCCATGTTACAGTGTTGCAGAGAAACAGCTGGAAATATGGCCTCAGCTGGGAACGGGCATGCCGTTATACTGTGTGAGAGAAACTGAGGCGCGATTTCAGCCATCATAGCACGATCTCTCAATCTCGACGTCGCAGAGAAGGATTCCCACGCACGCTGTTACCACGGATTTGAGAGACAAGATGGGCCTACGGGCATTGTCACCTGACAGGAGAAAGGGAAGGCACAAGTACAAGCAGAGGTCGAGCTATTGTCACGAAAACAGGATGCAGGACCCCGTGACGGATCAATGAGGACCTGCGATCTTGAGGTGGTGCGGAGGAAGAGCTGATGGCGACGCTGGTGTAGCTGCACACACCCTGTCTTCTATGTATCTCACTTGTGATCACAACCGAGGAGGTCGGTGATCACGGAGGAAGTGTTGACTTGTGATCGGACATGTACATGGGGAGGATGGCTGATCATAATATCCAACTTGGTTCATTGTCTACCATCTGCCAGATCACATGAGTTTTGGGCTGTTTTACGGAACAACATTAGTCCGCCAAGCCGCAACCTCACTCTGCAGTCACTGCCTCGAATTATTGCCTCGAACGAAAAATCAGAATGGCTTGGAACAATAGATCCCTTTGATTCACTCCCCTGGCCGTTGTAGATTCTCTTCTCTTCAACTGTATATAGATTTCCTTTCTTTTCTTCACACGAGCCGTAGTGGTGAGGGTTGAGGGTTGATGCTCGATCGCGCCCATCGTCGCCTCTACAAGTCGAGCGTTTGCCCTTTCCTCGTTTGCACCTTGACAACGCCTTTGTCGTTGCTTCCGTCTCCCTCACCGAGTGGGTCACTTGCTTCTACTGCAGGTGCAATCGTGCGGCTGCCTTTGATAATAATCACTGGAAGAGGCAGCTGCCTCCCACCTCTCAATCTCTTCTCTTCTCTTCTCTTCTTCGTTGCCAACCTTCCGAACTTCCCCTCTACTCTACGATGCATCCAAACCTCAGAAGCCTCCAGACATGGCGGAACAAGTCCCATTCCTCGAGCCATTGAAGACGGTTCACGAAAACCGCTCTGAGGAAGTATTCGGTACGGCACCCTTCCATTCTTCCCGGAAAGGCCTCTGAGCTAACTCATGGTCATCCAGTCCAGGCCTTTGTCATCGAGATACCAGCCAAGTTGACGAGCAAGGCATTGGGGTAGGTGACTCAGAGATCCTCCCGAGTGAGCCAGAGCTGACCACAGTGACTAGCATCGTCAAGCCCGTCATTCCCAGCGGCGGCAAACATCCTTCATTCAGTCACTTTCGGCGTGTATGCTCTCTCTCACACCTACCTTTGGACTTGACATGGCGCCGTGATTACGACGCACGCGGCCTCCAAACCGTCTTTCTGTTGGTGCCAAACACCGTCGTGTCATGGGACGATATCAAGGCCACGTTGGTGCCACACATCGATGTTGAAGGTCTTCCTCGATGCTTCGACGCTGTAGTCCCACGCCACGCACCTCTGAGTGCCGAGCAAGCTGCCCTCTGGACGGAACGGTATTGGCCATCAATCTACAACCCGGCTGCGCAGGTCATTCAAGATGCTCCACCTCTTCATCACCTTCGGCGGATACGAACTGTCCTCGAGGTCCCAGCCACAGATACCTACATGGAGCTCGCGAGGAGGGCTGCCGATGCTTCCAAGGAGTACGGCCACGGAAGAGGCGTGGGTGCTGTGGTGGTAGAACCAGAAACTTCAACCATCGTTGCTGTTGCCGGCGATGCTCGTTGGTGGTCAGATGATCCAGCCATCCATCAGTCGCTGATGGCAAACAATGGAGAAGGAAGACCCGAATATCACGCCGTCATGCGTGCTGTCGCCATGGTTGCCAACAAGGAACTTCGTCGACGCATCAGAGCTGGTGGTCACCTCAAGTTCAAGGACACCTGCTCTGAAACCCCATCTGGCCAAGCGCTCACACCCGTTGAAAGTGAATATGAAGCCGACGAACAAATCCTCCGTGACATTACCGCTGGAGTGGGCAATGTTGTCCTCGAAAACAATGTGAGCGATGCCGCCTCCGAAAAACGATCAGGTACCCGGTCCGAAGGTTATCTCTGCAGTGGACTCGACATTTATCTGACACACGAACCATGTGTGTGCTGTGCAATGGCTATGATCCATTCCAGATTCCGAGTCTGTATTTTTGCTCGCAAGATGCCAGGCAGCGGCGGCCTGTGCTCCGAACCCGGCGGCAATAGACTGGGATACGGCCTGTTCTGGCGTCGAGAGCTCAACTGGCGAGTCATGACATTCCAGCACACGCAAGCGGCTGCGGTCGAAGGCGAAGAAGCCTCGACAGACACGACAATATTCCATGCTTAGGAAGTCAATTATTGGGAATATCGCACAAGATCAACATCATCATCCTCATCAGGCGAAGTCGGCCACTCTGGTCCAATCGCCACCGCCGTTTTTCCTACGGAACTCAACACCTTCGCCAAAGTAGCCAGCATCATTCCATTGCTTCATGGTGTGGCCGTCGAAAGGCCCGTTTATCGCTCCACCGTCTCTGGCATCAGTCCATCTATACTCCCACAGTTGTGCCGTGGCATCATCAGCATTAGCTTGAGCATCTGTGTCGTCGGGCTGTGGAGGGTCGGTCCAGTCATTACCAGTTTCTCTTCGATATTGTCGAATGAGCAATTCTCTTTCCGTGTCGTAAACCTCTGCTTGGCCTCTGCCTAATAAGATAGCAGCTGCCCCGCTGATCTTTTCGACCTTTTCTTTTCGAGCCTGCTCCGCGGCCTCATCTTCTACTGCAGGATGCCCATCTGGCCCGCCATTTTCCTTTTTATGCCTGCTCTTGGGCTGCCATTTGGACTTCTTGTCTTTGGCCTTTGCAAGGCGAGCGAGGGCTTCCAGCACGGTTTCGCCACGTTCCAGCAGCGGAATGAGTTCAGCCAAAACATCGCCTGTTGACTTTGCATCCTCCTCCAAGTCACGTTTTCTTCGCTCTTCTTCTCGTTTGTCGGCAGCCTCCTTGGCCCGCTTCATTTCCTTCTTTGACATGCCTTCGAGCCAGACATCGTGAATCGCATCGGGATCAGCCGCTTTTCGTACGTAATTCCCCTGGTCGTCAAAGCGGCCCTCCTCCTGTTCTGCTCGCATGTTGAAAGCATCCAACTTGGGAGCATGGGACTTCTTGCTGCCGGCTCCCAGTTCGGGATCGATTTCGCCCGTACTTGCACGTGTTTCGTCGTCCACTTCGCTTTCACTGCTGCTCTCAACCTCATCGTCCTCTTCTTTTGCCTTGCCCTTTCCCCTGCTATGCAGCGAAAAATCAGCAGAGACATGTCCGCCACTCTTCGAACTTTGAATTTGGCCTTCTATCTCGTCTTCGTCAATGAAACGAACAGCTTTCTTCTTGCCGCCTCTTCGGCCGGCGTCGCCTTCCGAATCGTCTCCATCTTTGAAATCATCCTCCAGATCAGCGAACATGTCATTTTCAACCTCCCCCATGGATTTGTCCTTCTCCGCCCTTGCATTCGCTTTAGCTTTTTTGTCGGCGCGGGCGTTGAAGTTGTCATTGTCCGAGTCCGATTCGTAGCCGTCAATGTTGACTGCGCCGCGCTTCACTTGCTGACCACGTGCGCCGATGACATCTGCTTCCAGGATCGCATCTTCTTCTAATGCATCAGGAGCAAGGGCGGAGGGATTGCGCACGTCGAAGCGCGGTTTTTTGGTAGGTTGGCCGTAGAAGCCGTCGTCGGAGTCGGAAGTGGTGCGGACATAGTCTTCGGCTGCACGTTTGAAGCGAGGGGTGTTGTAGGCCATTGCTGCAGGTAGTTACCTGGGTTGGGTAGAGTTGGTTACAACCATTAATGTGGTCAAGCAGTAATAAAAGTTGCCCTGGTTGGCGGCTGAAATTGTGCAGCCAGTCGAATGATGTTCTCCGACCGCGGCCGCGGCACGACGTAGCTGCGTCACCACCTCACGCGTAGCGGGACGGTGCCTGGACTGGTCTTGCGACATCCATTTCACCAACTCGCCAGGCACTTAATCCTTTCTCCCTCTTCTTCTCAGTTATTTCCACTGGACGCCCTGTTTTACCCAGCGCTGACCCTCAGTCTCTCTTCCCTCTTATCGAGTTCGATCCCTGCTCTACAATTTCAAACATCCTCGCCCCGCACCGTCACCACTCTTGATCGCCTCCGTCGTTTCCTGGATTTACAACAGCCTGCGCTGTCCTGTTCCCTTCGGCACCTTCCTCTCACACTAAACAAAGCCAGGACGGTCCAAATGGTAAGTGTTTGCGTATGGAGCCTCTGTCCGCACTCACCAACATTCTCAGGCTTTCTACCAAGATCCGATGGACTACCCGGCCTTCTTGCGCGGTCCTCCTCCCTTGGGCCGCTCGATGGGTGGCCGGTTCGACGAGTACTACCGCTGCTATCCTGTGGTCATGATGAGCGGGCCTGATCGAAAGAATGTCAACTATGGTGGAAAGGTGTTCATGCCGCCTTCGGCCCTGGACAAGCTGACAAGACTCCACATTACATACCCCATGGTATTCGAGCTGATAAACGGAAATGCTGGCAAAAGTACCCATGCTGGTGTTCTTGAGTTCATCGCAGAGGAAGGGAGGATATACTTGCCACAATGGGTATTCCCGCTGGCTCAAGAAGATGCAAGGGCACATCGCTAACATCTTCGGGATAGCTGATGAAAACTCTCGAGTTGGACCCCGGCGACCTTCTTCAGATCAAATCCACTGATCTCCCTCCCGGCAAATTCATCAAGCTCCAGCCTCAGTCACCCGCCTTCCTCGACATCTCCGATCCACGAGCCGTCCTCGAAAACGCATTCCGGAACTTCTCCTGTCTGACAAAGGGCGATATCTTTACATTTGAGTACAATGATCAGACGTACGATATTGCGGTTCTGGAGATTAAGCCAGACACAGACTCACACTCCATCGTGACCATGGAGACCGATCTAGAAGTTGACTTTGCCACCCCGGTTGGATACGTCCCTCCAGAGCGAACGAGCGGGACAAGCACACCTAGAAGTGGCGTGGGCAGGCCACACGGTGGACCAGTACATTTTCAGGGAACCATGGCACAGTCAATCAACTACGGAAGCATAGCGCCTTCATCAAACACAGCTGCGGCCGGTGCCCGTGCCGTCTCCTCGCATTTCCTTTCGGAAGGTCATAAGCTCAGTTCGAAGAGGGGATCGAAAGCTCCGACGCCTAATGCATCTACACCAGTAGGCGGAGTGTCCACAAATGCCGCGAAGCCCCCACCAACGAGGAGAACAAACGGACCCCAGCCCTTGCGCCTGGCGCCTGGAAAGCTGTTCTTCGGGTACGAAGTCAAGCCATTGCGCAAGCGGGACGAAAATGGCGAACCTGTTGGCGGTGATGAAGTGAAACCTCACTTTAAAGGACAGGGCCAGACACTACGCCAGAAGAAACGAGCAGGAGGCGGAGGGACGGATAGCGGGACAGCGAGCGGCGTGAACAGTGATGCAGAAGGGAGAGCCAAGCCCAAGGGCAGTGGACGGAGGTAGCAGATGTCACTTGGAGGGGATTGCTTGATTGACCAACTGCATTGATGCATAGCGAAGGCGCTCCTGAGCTGGATGCACATAGAGGATCAGCGACATACAAACCCACAGACAGAGGTTTGAGCAAGGACGAGTCATGGGGATTTTCTGTCAACCATTCGTGGAACCGTGTTTGATTTTGAAGGCTAGAAAACCGTCCCACGTCTTTCTAAAGATGGAGTGTTTGTCTAAACCTCCATAGATGGACCTGGATAATTACATGTAGATATAGAATCTTCAGCCTCGTCCGGAAAACAATACCCCGAAGACCGCGCAACTGGCCTCCGTGTACACATCTACGTCATACAACGTCAGACCACGCGCCTGCATTTACACTGGCTGAACTTATGATTCTCCAAGGCTGAATGCAGTGGACTACAATTGAGAGACGCAGAACCCAAGCATCAACAACCAATATCCCTGCCTTTCCAAGACCGATGATACCAAGATGCCCGCCATAGATCCCGCCATTGCGCGCGCCCTACACCTCGATGCAGGCACTGCCCACATTTCCGCCCACGGCGGCTCTGGCTTTGCATCAACATTCCGCATCACCACGGCCACCACGGCCTTCTTCGTTAAACAGTCCCGCTCTCCGGGCGCGGACGTCATGTTTCAGGGGGAGCATGCCTCTCTCAACGCCATTCACGATGCCGTGCCCAGCCTGTGTCCAAAGTCTTTCGCCTGGGGACCATTGGAGAAGGGAGGCGGATACTTCCTTGCCACAGAATTTCTGGACCTCAATGGGCGGACATCGTCGCGGACCAGGAGCGGAGGTGGCAGTGGCAGTGGTAGCGGAATGTCTCTTGCCCAAAAACTCGCAAAGTTACACACGACTCCCGCCCCCGTCCCTGAAGGGCACGACGCGCCTCAGTTTGGATTCCCGGTCACGACGTGCTGCGGGGATACGCCTCAAGACAATACCTTCACCTCCTCGTGGGCAGAGTTTTTCGGGAAGCGACGGCTCCTCGCAATCCTCGAGAAGGCGGAGGAGAATAACGGGAGAGACCCGGAGTTGCGGCGGGTTGTCGAAAGGACCGTCCACGAGGTAGTGCCCAAGCTGCTTGGGAGCAGCCATCTGGGTGGCAAAGAGGGGATCAAGCCGGTCGTCGTGCATGGCGATCTGTGGTCAGGCAATAAATCCAAAGGCAGCTTCGTCGGCCGCGACAATGCGACTCCGGACATGCCGGGACCGACGGAGGACGTGGTCTTTGACCCGTCGTCCTGTTACGCGCACAACGAGTACGACTTTGGGATCATGCGCATGTTTGGCGGGTTTTCGTCGTTCTGGCAGGAGTACCACGGGCTGGTGCCCAAGACGGAGCCCGTAAGCGAATACGAGGACCGAGTGTCGTTGTATGAAAGTGTGAGGCTCCCTTTCGGTTTTTGATGCTCTTTCTGTTCCATGGGGTTCACTCTAACGCAGGCTGATCTATTTTCTGCAGTACCATCACCTCAACCATTACGCAATCTTTGGAGGCAGCTACAAGTCCGGGGCCATGGGAATCTTGAAGAAGCTGGTGAGAAAGCACGGCGAGCACCAATAACTGTGGTTCAACGATACGTGCAACGACGATGACTCTTTCATCTTGGTGTGCTTCTGAAACATACAGAAGTGGGAAATGGCGTCTCGAAAATATAAGACCTGCGCGGTGTTCATATTGTGCGAGAGACGGGTTGTGGCCCGCCATCTATATACGTACCTAGGTTCAACGCATAATATACTCGTAAATCTATGTGGATACGGAGTACGGCGCAATGGGTCCATCCCCACCGCGTATTATGACTGGAGGCACCCGACATTGTCCAATGAGTCGGCAGCCGATTATCTGGCGCCCTTTGTTAGACACAACCAGGTCCATGTTCCCCCTCTGCTGGTCTAGAAACTTACATATCCCTTCTGTTTTGATTCTTATGCTTCCGCCCCCCAACTGGACGTGAGTCTGGCGTCAGCATCGTCGCCCATTCCGCTGAAGCTGGTATAGCCACTCACCTCTCAACTCTTCCCGTATCGACTCCCACGGCCACGAGGTGATGGTGCGGGTCAAGGACGGCCAAAAGCCCAGGGCTCGCTGGAGCCCGGACGAAAGCTACGACCGCCACAAGCGGCCTCGATGGCGACCATTGCTGCTCCTGGCTGCGGTCGTCGTCGCCGTCGGTGTTGCCTTCAAAGATGACCTTCACAGACCACACTTATACCTGCTGCCTCTCATCCCGTCTTCGCTTCTCTCATTGGATCAGCGTGTTGCCAGGATCATGGCCGTGACTCCGCTGATGGGTGAGTCCACCCTCTGCCGCCAGAATGGCACCTACGAGTTTCTCTCCGCTGACTGCGCTGCCCACAAAACCCAGACGGACATGATGATTTGGCGTGGAGCGTCCGCTGGCACTTCCGCAACCATATCTACGACCAAGACTTCCGGTCCAAGTTCGAGGGCGGCGGCATGCCGGACCATTTCGACCTGGCCCGGCTGAAGCAGGGCCGGCAAGGCGGGCTCTTCTGGAGCTGCTTCATCGACTGTCCCGCCGACGGGTTCGACTTTTCCAATGCAAACTACGCTTCCAGTGAGTTTTTCCATGTCCGGGGGAATTGGCCCAGAGTGTGTGACGTTCTCCCTAACGTCGTGGCAGCTGTCGTTCTGGCGCTTTCGCAGATGGACCTCATACATCGCCTGCAGGCCGCCTACGCCGACGTCTTCTCTCCAGCCACGCTCGACAGTACCGCGGCCCTGACGGCCTTCAGGCGCCATGGGAAGTTGCTCTCCCCGATCGGGCTTGAAGGGCTCCATATGATCGGGAGGAATGCATCGATGCTCCGCCTCTACCACCAGCTAGGAGCGAGATATGTCACGTTGACCCATAATTGCCACAACGCCTTTGCAGACGCCGCGCAGCTTGCGGCTCATGACGACCCCCATGGCCTGGACGCTGCTATCCCTGCAGCACCACACTGGGGCGGCCTGAGTCCTCTGGGCACTCAGCTCATCCGTGAGATGAACCGTCTGGGCATGATCGTAAGTGGTACTTCGCTCCCTGGACGAATTCGCTCTGACCCATGTCGCCCAGGTCGATCTGGCCCACGTCCACCCGGCGACCATGCACGACGTGCTCGCGGGCAACCAGACCAAGTCGTTCCCCGGCAGCCGGGCGCCCGTCATCTTCTCGCACTCGTCGGCGCACGCGCTGTGTCCTCACCCGCGCAACGTGCCGGACCACATCCTCCCGCTGGTCCAGCAGACCGACTCGGTCGTCATGGTGACGTTTGTGCCGGGCTTCATCTCCTGCGTCAACTCGACCACCCCGGGCACCATCCCGACGTTCTACCCGGCCAACTCCACGCTGGATTGGGTCGCGGATCACATCATGTACATCGGCGGCAAGATCGGCTTCGAGCACGTGGGGATCGGGAGCGACTTTGACGGGACGCCCACCACCCCCCGCGGCTTGGAGGACGTGAGCAAGTTTCCCGACCTGTTGAAGGAGCTCTTGAAGCGCGGTCTGAGCGACAGGCAAGTCGAGGGGATTACGGGAGGCAATCTCCTGCGCGTGTGGAAGAGGGTGGAGGAGGTGGGCAGGGAGATGCAGCGGGAGGGTGTCACGCCCATGGAAGACGACATCTAATCCTCAAATTAGAGGGTGGATGAGACAACAGAGGTTCAGGCTGGGACTCGGATTCAAGCCTGCCTGTGGGCTCACCCTGCAAGAGCAACTCGTGCGTGAACGATTCCGTCTCAGTAATCGAGAGCACTTCTGGACAGACTTGGAACTTGGATTTGCACAGACTAGACATGAGAGGTCCTTGACAAATGAAGGACAATACGGATAATAACCCCAACTGAATCAAACCTTCACCTAGACAATCTTCACCTAGACAATCTTCACCTAGACAATCTTCACCTAGACAATCTTCACCTAGACAATCTTCACCTAGACAATCTTCACGTCCACATCGTGCATGTCGGGGGGAAACTTACATTGTGCACCACGCGCACAGTTATCTCCGTGAGGGCAGCGATGACCATAAAGACAATCCGCGACGTTGCACGACAAGCCAAACGAGCAAGGGGTCCGGCGTGCATTGGCACGCAAGGCGGGCCACTGCTCCTCGGGCAGCCGTCTGCCGTGCTCGTGCTGACAATTTCCGTACTTCTCTAAGTACGGACAACTTCCCCGGAGATGGAACCAGTTGCAGAGTTTGCGCGCCGACAAGCGAGCGAAGTCTTGTTGGGAATAGCTGAGCGGCGCGTCCACGCGGTGGCCCATTTTGTTTCGCAACACCCCCGATGTCACAGGCACTCCGGCTACTGGCAACCTTTGCTGCTGGGTGGTGGCAGCAGCAGCAAAGTTGGGCGTCACTGCTGGGGGAGCTCTCGCCACCACCATTGCGTAGTCTGCTGAAGGAGTGTCTGGGGGCGTGGGGTGGGATGACACCCGGCGCTTGACGTTGCCCAGCTTCTGGCTTCTGAAGACCTTGTCGAACGCGACGGTGCGGAATCGGTCCTTGATGTCGGCCAGTTCCTGGGCAAACGGCGGACCTTCTAGGAGGAGGATGCGTCGGCGGTCGGTTTCATGCTGGGCGAACGGCCCAAGCAGTCGGGCGTATCCATTGTCGGCCGTGCCGCCAAAGAATACGCGTTCACAGTGCACATCGGCCAGATCGCGTCGAAAAGTCGCTTGGTGCGAAACATCAGCGTTGTTGACACCACAGCAACTTGTCTCATCGAGGGGGGAGCCTTACCCTTGACCTTTTCGTCCGAGCACTCCTTACCATTACCTGCGTCCACAAAATCACACATGGCGTCACCCATGTTGAAACCACGAATGAACTCGTCGAGGGAGGTGGATTCGGCGAGAATCTCTTTCTCCTTATACGTCTTGGCCAGTCCTTTCACGTTCGCGTACACACGAACTATCACTTGTACCTGGTGTGGTGTGGAGGTGGGCGAGGATCGAAGCTCCTCTTCAACGGCCTGTTTGAGCAGGCTGGCTGTATTCTTCCCGCCATTCATGCCCTGTTTAACGAGCTCATCTTCAAACTGGATTCATACGCTCAGCGAGGCTCTCCGCTGAATGTGAGGGGATAGGGAAGGATAATACCGGCATACAGTCGCCGTCGATCACAACCGAGGCGAAAACGAGACGAGCCTGCCCCAAGGTCAGGTCAGTCAAAGGGGGCAAATGAAGAACCAAGCGCATGTTCTTACCTTTTCAAGCTGTAAGGCTTGGATCTGCTCCTCGACGCCTTTAACTTTGTCACGAGTCATCTTGATCACGTCCTTCTTGTCATGGAGCTCCGCCTCAGCGTCGGATAACTTCTTGGATTGCTGTTCGATGTGGTCGAACAGACTCTAGATCGATCGGAAGTGACCAAAGCCAGCCCAAGCCTCGTGAGTTTACCGTACCATGATCAGTGAATGCTTCTTGTCGTCATGACTCTTGCACAAATCCCATTCCGCCTTCAAACCCTGCAGCTGCACTTGCGGACCCGACATCTCCTTTTTCAATTCAACCCACAGTCCAAACAACACAGAAAACTATGCTGGCAGTGTGCACAAGACCGTTGGATGGGGGAGAGGCTGAGGAACAAATTTATATATTGGCCAAGGCACCGACAAATACGAGGTATCTGGTCCTAGCCACGCAAGCGTGCTGACTCGCCTTGAGGTTGGTTACACAGCATGCACTTCGCCGAATCGCAGGAGGACAAGTCATCATCCCCCCCCCTACGCCGGGCGTTTCAACGGTCTACCCAAGCAGACAATTTTCCGTCGGTTGTGGATTCTCAAACAATCAGATCGGCTGGCTGGGTCGCAGCTTATACGACCTCGGGAGCGGCGATGAGCATATAGGACAGCCCGAACACCTCTTCTTTCTCACTAGCGAGCAGCGTACTCATTCGGCCCCTCCAAGTTCCATGCCCCCATCAAGCCACCATTTCCTTCTTCGAAACATACGTGCCAAATTTCATCCCCTCGGGCACCTTCATCCACTGCTTGGTGACTGGGTCCAGAATGCCTTCTTCGCAACGCTTCCACGCCTCTCGAATCATCTCTGCCTTCTTCGGGGTGCGAGGTTTCATGTCGATAAGGAAGTCCCTGGGTTGTACCGTGGTTCCACCCACGAAGTCTTCAATATCCGGAACGATAGGCTTCCCGTCTGGACCGATCGGCTGGTCAATGTTGAAAGCCCAGACGATGCGGGCGGTGGCAAGAAACAGCGAACGTTCGGCGATGTGCATCCCCTGGCACATGCGACGGCCGGCTCCGAAGATCCAATTCTGGCGTTGATTCTCTTCAGGGTTGGTGGCAGACTGAAATTCACTCTGTGAGTCGTTGATGAATCGCATGGGATCGTACTTGCGAGGGTTGGGGTTGCGTTTTGGGTCCATGTTGATTGTCCTGTTTTCGCGTGAGCGAGGATCGAAACATGTCGGCCCGCCGAAAGGAGAGTTCATAGAGGTCTCAAGCCCTTACCAATTGTTGTTGACGACTGCCGCGCCCTTGGGAATTCTGTAACCCATATAGTGGTCTTCCTGGATTAAGCCGTGAGGCGATCCCAGAATCAAAGTAGGCATCCACCGAATGGCTTCTTTCACACACGACCGAATGTAGGGACAGTTGGGTGCATCATCCATCTCCGGCATCCGATCGAAGCCCACGACTCGGTCAATTTCCTCTTGGGCAGCCTTTTGGGCCTCGGGAAAAACTAACATCGCTTGGATGAATCCCACCAGTGTTCCGGAGGTAGTGTCAGAGCCTCCTTCGAGCAGCGAACCAGAGATATATGCAGCCTGTTCGTCGGTGAAATGTTCCTTCTCTTGGGAGAGGAAGACGTCAACGCTGAAACATGGCTTTTCAAGCATGTCACGTTAGTTTCTGCTGCGGGAAAGAACGGAACGAGGAGGACAACAAACTCGAGCACGAAGCAATAACGTCCTACATACCAAACAGGTCCCACGTAAAATCCTTTCCTTGACGTCATTCCAGTGGCCAGTGTATAGCTTGCGCTCCTCCCGATACAGTTCTCTTGCGTACCGATATTCCGGGTTCAACGGGGCCGGAATGTGTCGAAGGATGGGGAAGCAGTCCATGATCTGAGCGCTCGCGCTAGCAGCTATCTTGCCCCATCTCTCGAAACCCTGAGAATCAGAATTCAGTTAGCACGATGGAGCAGAAAACCTCCCCCACCCTAAAAAAAAGGAGGGGGGAGGGGGAGGGGGAAGAACAAGTCACCCGGAAGAATTGAAGCATCCGTGGATCTTCTGTACTGATGGTACGGAAGCCGTAAACCATCTGAGTTGTCAGCGAGCTGGTGTATCTTCTCAGGTGCAGAACAAAGTCGTTCGGTCGCTCTAGCAGGCCTAACAGCATGTTTTTGTTCTCGAGATCCTGATAGGGGATATAGGCTACGGCCGTCTTGATGTTGAGCGTATTGTGCATCATCTTGTGGACGAGTCTCCACATCGGTCCATATTTCTGGGATGAATTAGCATTTCCTGCTTCCCCGATTGCGTTGGGACCAGGAGCGAACCATGGTGACGAATCGCTGATAGTTACTCGCCACATCGTGTGCGAGATACATGTCCGGCCTCGAGGAGTAAATGGCACTGCGGTCGTGCATTAAATCTTTCACGGTCTTGGGCGACGAAAGAACAATCATGGTCTTAGTTCCTAGTATCAGCGAGTAAATCGGTCTGGCGTGGCTCCTGTATCAGCCACGGAATTGAAGGCGGCGACAGTAGCGGGACTGGTACTGACCCATATTCTTGGGCCCATTTTTGAAATTGAATATGGGGCCGCTCCGTCGGGATCTATGACGATCAGGCTCAGCCAACGGAGGCTCAGCTGTCGCTCTATTTCTATTCTTACCTGGTGAATATTTCCCAGGATTGGCACCGTGGGAGGACCAGGGGGGAAATCCGCGGGTCTGCTGCCAATTTGGAGAATTTTGTAAGCCGCATACAAAATGATGCCTGCTGCAACTGCGGCGAGGGCCATGGGAGGTAGATGGTGATCCATGCTGCACAAGGGAGAGTACACACGACCGAGCCGTGGTTTCTGAGGAGCAGCGTATGTTACCTCCCCTCACATGTTTTGTTATATATTCTGCTGAACCCTGCGTTATGAGAGAGTCGTCGACCGACTCGGGCCGATACCCTAGGCCTCCGAGTTAGTATCATGCATTTCCCGAGGGGAGGAAAGTATTCAGGATCGCTTCGTTGGCTCCGGGGTGTTCGTCCGGAGCCCGGGATCGACTTTCGTGGTCGTTTCGTGAGAGAGCGTGAGTGGGGGGCTTTGTGAACGCGATATGTTGAGCTTTTTGGACGATTCCCAGCCCAGCGATGATGGGATGTCATGCAACCGGAGAGTCTCAGGACTTGGTGGCTCGGAGTCTTCGGCTGCGCATCCGGCACCAGCCAGAGGTCAAGGTCAAGCTATTGCTTTTATCGAATGCCAACTGAGCTCTTGATTGCCTCCCCGCCTTGATCAAATCGATACAGTAAGGCTCATTGCCCTGTCGCAAGTTGAAAAAGGGTCACGAAGCCCAAGTTATGGCACAGACGTCCCGTGTTAGAAGTCCGAGCAAGTTTGCTCATGTGGTGCTCCGTACCAGCAGCGACAATCTTCAGAAGATGGTGCAATTCTACAAGGATTTCCTCGGAGCCAGCGCCGCCTTTGAAAACGATTTTCTGTCCTTTCTCACCTACGACGATGAACACCATCGTATTGCGATCGCGGGCATCCCGGGAACTGCGCCAAAGAATATCAAGTCTTGCGGATTAGAGCATACGGCATTCAGTTTCGACACCCTGGATGACCTGCTTGAGGCATATACACAGCGCAAAGCCATGGGTATCCTGCCCATGTGGAGTGTGAACCACGGTCCGACTACCAGTATATACTATGCCGACCCGGACGGCAATCAGATCGAGACGCAGGTGGACAACTTTGAGACGGCCGAAGAAGCGACCGAGTTTATGAAGTCCAAGTATTTCGAGGAAAATCCCATCGGGACCGACTTCGACCCCGAGGAGATGATCGAAAAGCTGCGCAATGGGGTTAGTCCTGAGGTGTTGAAGAAGAGAGTGGAAATTGGTCCTCGTAGCATTCTGGCGCACTGAATTCCTCTATAAATCAAAGAAGGTTCAGGATGGGATGATGTGGCCGAATCCGACGGACAATCATGATCACTCTGTCCCAGGGGTCGATAAGGTTGATCTCTTTTTCAGCCGACATTTGCCAGCAGTGTCTCCTCAGGAATACAGAGAAGTATATACCGCCATATTGGCGCGACTCTCTCTGTATGTATTTGCCAGTCGCCTGAACACCTTGCTGATTTTCCCGAGTCGTGACTGCGTGTAAGCAACTTGGAGCCATGGCGGTGCATGCTGCGCGTTGAAAAGCCTCCAAGGTGCCATTCTTGTTCCTCCGATGCCATAGTTGTCTACCTGCTGCGACTCGGCACCACGCGACTGTATCGCTCTCGGTGGTCCTCCAAGGTGTATTCGAATCAAGACCTGAGGGCTGAGGTGATAAAAGGTGGGAGACGGGCGACGCGGTGTGAAGCAGCGAGGGTAAAAGAAGCGACAATCAACAGCCCGCAACTGAGCACACACGCACTGCGTATCTTGTTTGTGCCATGAAGCAAGGGCATCTGAAACTTCGTGCATGATTTACGGCTTCTTGATGGCGGAACGCAATTGATCTGGTGGCTTCACTGGATCGAATGCTTGGCAATTGTGTTGGTCTGATTTCACTGTCACTCACTTCCTGACTATATTAACCTTATCTATATGGCTTGATCTTGAGCCGAAGGCAGAGAAAGATATCTCGCACGATGAGAGACGCTTCGCTGCCAACATGCCGCTCAGGAACTTGATGGAAGACCGTCTCTCGGGACTTTGCAACCGCACGAGCAAGTTACTCCAAGCTGTCAAGTCCATCAGATCAGCTCATCCTCGCCCTCAATCTCCAGCGGCATCTGCCACCAAGGCGAGGTGGTGTTCCCGCATCGGGATTAGATGGCTTCACAGACGTTGAGCATGGCCGACTTGCAGATGCGCACACCGTGTATTCGATCGGGTCCAATGCCAAACCCTTCAAAGAGGCGATCGGCGGTATACTGGACAGTGAGGGCACACTTGTATGGACGACACCGAATTCTACGTATCTAGAGGACTGCGGGGAGCATCCAATGGGCGGAAGCAGCTTACGACTTTCGTTCGCGCCGGCTGTACAACAACTTCCTTCTGGACGTCGTGGGTGCTGTTATATCAAACATCTGCGGGAAGAGATCTGACCTTGTTCTGCACGAGCGAATCCTCGAGCCCTTGCGAATGAAGCGGGCCTTCACCCGCAGCGACGAATATTCCGATGATGACAATCACGCACGAGGCTATTCAATTCTGGGAACGGTGACTGGATGCTGCTGCAATCTCCTGGACTCAAGGACGGGAGCTTGCAAGTTGCCTCAGGTTACATGCGAAGCACGGTCCACGATATGCTGCTCTGGGCCAAAACCGTCGTGGAAGCAAAAAAAAAAAAATTGTCGCTGCAGTGGGATCCCCGGAACCATGAGCGTGTCAAGAACTGGGTTTCTAACACGCCAACGCCGTCACGGACGACTACAAGGGCACCTACGTCAACAGGGGCTTCAATACACCATCTCGACAACCAAGTTGCCCGAGCCCGACATCAGAGAAAGCCAGGCCGTTGCGATCGACTAGGATTTGCAGGCTGACTCCTGTGAGGGTCCGGCGGTTAAACTGGGGGCACTGCGTACCGCCTATCACGTTTCAGAAAACGGATTAGGATGGCAAGATGGCATTCCGGAGGTGGTGGTTTGCATGAAGTTTGCAGATGCTCGGCCAGAAAACACCAATGAAGGATGGCGTGAGCAGATGACAGCAGCAGGCCTAGGAGCGGGAATGTTGAGTCAGGGTCACAGGGTGCCTATGTATTGAAATGTGTACCGGAAGGGCCTCCGGTTTCTCCGGAGCGTCGATACCACGATCTACTCGTAGGGACTGGTCTCACAAACTTGACCCGCGTTGAAGTGCAGCCGAGGTCAGAACTCAGTCTGCGGTCTTTCCTGTTTATGCCATAGACCAGCATGTAACCTCCAATAGAACGGCACACACGTCGATCACGTCTCGATTGACTCGGACATGATTCGTATAGTCTGCATCGTTGTGAAATACACGGTACCACCGGTGTATGGCAAGTCTGTCTTGGCATCCCCATAGTCACGTGACAATCCCCGCAAAGCCGGGGTTCCCAATTTCCGGGGCTCGACCTTTTCCCTACTCCCGATCATCCACCGTCTTCTTCTCTGTCAGGATTTCCGGTCTGATTAAGAGCGTCAAGCGTGTCGAGAGGGCTCTGAGAGAGCTGATCGCGAGCCTTGAGACGACTAATAGCCACCGACAGCGCGCAGCTTACCCCTAGCAATCCTGGCTATGTCTTGATCTTGGTTCCGTGCTGGGACCACATGGATGAGCGTGGACACACCGAACAAACCCCCAAGCCCTTGGAAAAATTTCAAATGATTATTGCATGCACGTCGCGACGATGCCTGCTCGTTCAGATGTGCCCAAATGCTCAGTTGCTTGCCACTATTGTCGCTTGAAGAAGACCAAATGTAAGCGAATCCAACCTTCACCTTCTCTCGTTTACCGATAATGATACTGCGTCCGTCTCTGCGCCTACTAACAGCTCTCAGGTACAGGAACTCGGCCTTGCGCAAATTGCATTGTAAGTGGCCGCCCTGATTCTGCTGCCGGCACTAGGTGATTAAGCTCGTCGACGAGAAGGCCCATCGAGAGCAATGCGTCTTTCCCGACCAGTCGGTAGGCAAGAAGAGAAGCCACAGCCAGATTTTTCTAGAGGAACGTGTTGCTTCGCTGGAGCAGCTACTCCGTCAAGAGACCAGCCAAAGATCCCCGACCACGGCCTCCTCAGGTCCCATTTACCACTCCGACGATCACATGGTCCAGCAACCAAATCCCAAATCAGTCCGACCGTCCGTGAGGCCACAGTCGTTGGCCAAACCTTTGTCGTGCCGTTCAGATGATCCTCCCAATGGCAGCGTTATGGGTATCCCTAGGTTACCGGCCTGGGGATCCAGCTCGACCGATGCTGCCACTGCCACGATCTTTGACCTTCATGACCTTGCACCCTCAGACGCCAATCTGCCACAGACCGGCCCGATTTTGGACATGGGCAATGAGTCCCACCATATTTCAAGGCCAGCACCAGGCCCAGTGTTCCGTGCCCAGTCGCAGCAGACGTATTCTCCTGCACGGCAGGGTCCCAGCGTCGTCGCTACAGACGATGCAATTGGCTCTACCATCGTCGTGGAAGATACCACTGCCGATATTCCATATGAAACCCCGCAGTCCCCCGAGCAAGAAGTGAGTTTTAATTCTTCGCATAGTGCAGCCGTGTTTTGTTCGACTTCTTAGTTCATCACTAAATTCTGAATCATTAGGGTGATAATCAGGAACATATCGGTATGAGGACCCCTTCGAGAGAATCTCCTTCATGGTATACTAACAGGTTGATCCCAGGCAGGGCATCGTTCTTGAGTCTCTGCTCTCCTCTCGGTGTCGACTGGGTTTGTCGACAACTGGGCAACTCAGACTTCCACAATTGCGCAAGCCGACTTGCCATCACCATAACACGATCATTGAAAATGACAAGGCCGCTTTCGATTGACCGGCAACCCGATCCTGACTATGAGACCGCGATGCTCTGGGCTTCTGGTCAGTTCTCAAGCTCAATGCAAGATCAAAGATCAAAGCTGACTCGTGGTGCCGTCATTAGCCTATTTTGAAGAGAGCATTGAGCACACGCTGGGATTGGTACCACGCCAGGCCTTCGAGTCTCGACTTCAACAACATTATTCGCAGCCGGCATCCGCAGATGCTGATTTTACTTGGTATAGCCTCCGAAACACCGTTTTCGCTATCGGAAGCCGCCTTGCACTGGGCCGCGGCGGTGGACCGGTGAGCTATGCAGCGGCACAGGGACAGTCCTGGTTGTACTTTGAGAATGCTCTGGCTGTCCACACCAATCTGGTGTACATGTACTCGGACGTCAGTGCTATCGAGTGCATCCTGCTGATGGTCAGTCTATCGAATCACCACTGCTAGCCTGCCCTTCACTGACTTGAATGATTTTGGTGTCCACATAGGCCCTTTACTGCGAGGGAGTTTCAGCTCCCTCATTGGAATACATGTTGCTATCCACAGCAATCCGGCTAGCCTTCTCCAAACGACTTCATCTACAACCCCCTTCTCGATGTAGTCTCTCCGACTCCGAGAAGGCGACGCGGATCTGGTTGCTGTGGGTGATGTACTTGTATGACAAACATATTGCCTGTAGGTCGGGTCGACCGTCGGTAAGTCGCCACCTCAGCTTACCCACTTTATCGATGGCCTGAGAGTTCCTAGAGTTCTCCCGAATACTAATGTGCGTATCCCACAGATGATTCGCGACGACGACATCAACGTCGCTTTGCCAACCGAACCTCGGTACGACACGCACACCGACCTGGGGCTTCTCATTGCTTCGGTCCGCCACGCTCAAATCTCATATGCCATTGAGAGAGAATTGTTCAGCACCAAATCGCGACCCCGGTCGATTGAGGAGATCAGCAAGACGGTCAAGAGACTCGACGCTGACTTGCGGGCGTGGTACGCCGACCTGAGACAAGAATACCTTCTCCACACACCCGATCGGCCCAAAGTTCTCCATCCGCGCATCAGCCACGTCCATTTCCTGTTTCTTCAACACTGTTTTCACGGTTCTCTGTGTGTGCTGCACTCAGTTCTCGCCCAGCCATGGAGGGAGGGTCAGTTGCAACAGCGACAGAGCGCCGAATACGCCAAGCAAGTCCGGGAGAGCGCTCCCATCATCGCAGATGCATCTCGGGCCATTGTTCTCGATAGTCAAAAGTTTGCCATCGACGCCAGTACTCCGGCCTGGTAGGTCCCAAGGACCCCTTTGTTCTCTCACGCCTGCCACATGTAGTCTTTTGCCGCGGCCCGCCTCTTCAGATTTTGCCGTCCATATATTTCAATCTCTTGTCTTGTCAGCTCACCATGTTCAGCCTGTCGCTTTGCTCGACGGGTGACGGCTCGATTAGAGGTCTAATATGATGGGTCCCAGGTTGATGTTCTACTTTCCGGTCCTCGCCGCGGCGAACCTGTTCCTCAACACCGTCCGCTCGCCCACGAATACCTGTGCACAGTCCGACGTCACATTGATCGAAATCGTGGCCGGAATGTTCGCCCGGCTTGACTATGCCAGCGGCGGTCATCTGAGTATCAGCTTCCCTCGAGAGGTGGCCGAATATGCTCGCGGCCTCTTGTCCAAATCACGAGAACGGAATACCGACGCAGATTCATCCTGTCAATGGACAACGGAACTCGACAAATTCTTCCCGGCCGGTACTGACATATCGGCCGATGACGAGGTGAGAGAGATCCTCCTGACCGACGCCATTGAGTGGCTCCTGTGCTATTGTGCTATAAGTACTTTCGCGGCTGACGTAAACAGTTCACAAATGCGGACATCGTGGATTTTGGATACTATGAATGGCCCCTCATGCCCAACACGGGCTGAACTGGATACAACAGGATCCCACTTTCACCTTCTCCGGCTGTCCAGGTATGGGACAGTTGAATATGGCCAGGCTGGTCGGAAACCAGAAATCGCCTGTCTTGTCGTATTATATATACATATTAATTCACATTTTGTGCGGCTCTCACCCTGTACAAAAGAACAAGCAAACGTCAAAATGTGTTTATTGGTTCCATGCCACAAAATGAACTATCTCCATGGACAGGCCACGCTGAATGAAACGGACAATCCTTGCCAGAAGTTGGGGTTCAGCCTCGTTCCCTTCGTGAGGATTCGGGGACACAAGTCGAGAACAAAGCCCTGTGTCTTCCTCGTGGTAGTCGTACTGGTGTTGGTGGTTTCGCCGCTGCAACGACCGCGACGTCGCCAGCGGGTGGAGGAAGGCATCGTAGAGGTTTTCGATCATCTCGGCCACGAACCCAGCGCCTTGAAATCGGGGTTTCAGAAGGCCCAACGTCCTCACCATAGCATTTGGCTTGCTCCTCTCTGGGTCGTTCTCGAAAATCACGTCTTGTCGTTGGCTGTTATTCGCCTTCAATAGCTGAGTCGCGATGGGGACGATGAGCCAAGCTAATCTGTTGCCGCCACGCGGGATCCACAGCGAGTCAACAGAATGTGCATATGTACAAACAATAGTACATGGTTAGTGGGGATATCATTTCTTCTGGTGCCCACGATGCAAGCTTAAAAGGCGGGGGGGACAGGCATGAAGAGAACACGACTTACAGGGTGGGTGGCAGAAACTCGCCCCGGATCTGGTCGGTCACCACTTGGACGAGCTGAGCGATTTCCGAGGAGATTTCGATCATTTTAAGAAAGGCCAAGTCACAGAGCATTTGAGACGTGGTGTTTGCCTTGGAGAGGGACCATGAGAGAAGTTGGTCTTCCCAGAGCGCGACACGGGTGCCCCTGTCTCTGGTCGCGTCAGCCAGAGTGTTTTGGTTTTGGGATTGGAAGTGTGGTCTCGAGAGTCGACTAGGGCTGCGTGTTACGAAAACAAACTCACATATGCATGATTGACAGGATGTGAAGATATGCATAGTCTTCGTCGCCCACCCAATGGACGCCCTGAGCGTGGTAGCACCTCTCAAACTCCTGATCCCACGCGTTGAGCCGGCGTTCCAGCTCCATCGCATGACCGACTCGAGAGAATTGTCCCATCCCGAGGCTGTCTTGCCACCATGGCACCCATTGGACTGCGGTGCGTGACTTGATGATGGCGGCCATGATCCTGGAGAGTTGACACAAGAAGATGAAAGCAGCCGCGGCACATCGGTCTGACTTTTTCCAGCTTGATACCGACGACGACGATGACGCGGTCAATGAATATCGGAAATCCTCGGGTTCAGGCAGCCGCCCTGGGTCGACAGCGTCGAAAAGCAATCGAGGGCGACGCAGTCCGAGCACAATGGTTCGATTGCGGACTAGGCTGCACCACATGACCATCCGCTTCTGACCGCTGGTGGGAGCAGGAGCATCGAAAGGCCCCGATTGCAGGGAATGCCGGATGGCCTCGGCGGCCCAGAAGCTGTTGACCTCTACGGAGCTGTCATACGGGCTCCAAAAGCTCAGCAACACGGCGACCTGGGCGAGGATCAGGGTGTCGGATGGCCGTGCTTGGGAATGGAAATGATACATGCTTTGGACCATCCGGAACAAGGACGTTTGGCCTTCCACGATCGACTGGAATGGGCTTTGCCGGAGTTGAGAGTCATTGAGGTGGCCAAAGGCCGCGAAATATACGGCATGCAGAAGCATTGCCTGCTCGGTCGTCTGCATGGAATTCGCATCTCTCTCTGGGTGTTGATACCACCATAGAAAATCTGACCTACACACGGCCGGACAAAGTGGGTGAACATGCTTGAAGTAGATTGACACTAACAGCTCCGAGAGAGATGGGATGATGACTGGAAAGTCCAGCTGGAGCTGAGACAATCAGCATCGAACTTGAACTTCCCTCCCTGAACGCTTCTTCTGTCTATAGGCCAGGGAAGTACCTACTGGAGAGGGAATGTGCTGCTGCGGCGTGCTTTCACTACCTCGAGTCTGGTCGGGGCTTTGGATGTCGTGGAGCTGGTCCAGGCCGACTGGGATTCCGGAGTGAGATACCAAACTGCAGCTGCTGGAATCCGGGATAGATGTGTCTCTCCGTATCAAAACACCTGAAGGCAGATGATTGTCACTCCAAGATTGCCAGGACGGCGTCAATTTCAGACTACCGCCATCGGCCAGTTGGAGAACTTTCGGATCGATGGTGATATCCAACCGCATGCCGTTGTCACTATGTCGCCGGACGGTGGTGGAGGTGGAGGTGTTGTTGAGCGCCGATGAGAAGCCAGGGCGAGAGATACGGCTGGGCGACACTTCGTCCATTGACCCCTCCCCCCCACCCCTTCCTCTCCGGGGGTTGAGTGCAAAACGCATCGACCCATGGAATTTGTGATACACAGGTGGAGGTGGAATGCCAACATAATCAGTACACCGGTCACTACTGCTTTTCCCACCTCACTCACACAAAGTGTCCCGAATGAAGTGGCACGGCGCTGTCGGCACTGTACTGGGCATAATTCGGAACGGATTTGTTCGGCGGCTGGACAATGCCTCCCTTGACCCAAGGAAATGATAAGACAACTTCGGAAGCACGCCCTCCGGCGGCCTCTCATGGGGAGAAGAGAGTTTTGGGCCGGTGTTCGGGCGCAGCAAGGTCCGGGAGAACCGAGAACCTTCCGAATGTATGTTCCCCGGTGGGTCTGTATGGAAGTAACTACACTTCACGGCAACGATACTCACGCTCCGTTCTCCAGGAATTCAAAGCACCCATCGACGGGGTATGGTTGGGGTGAACCACACCATATCCGCCAAACCAGCCATTCGGTTTCATTCAAGTCAATTCAGAACCCAACGAGCAAAAAGACATGGGCTATAACACGGAGAACACCGAGTGGCCGACGTTTGAGATCAGCTCGGCCGTCAAAGAGCTCATCGACCGTTTCTTCTGGCAACTGGACCAGAGTGACCCTGAGTCGGGGAACGTGCTCGCCGACCAGATCTTCGCAACGACCGGGCAAGCTGAGTTTGGAGGACATATGTTCACGGGGGCAGATGGTAGGTTTGATCTACCATCTCATCCTTTTCCGCTCCTCTTTCTCGAGCTTTGCACTGACGGGCATGGATTGATGTCTTCGCAGAACTTCGCAAGTCGAGAGACAGTGCGTGGAAAATCGTCACCAAGCGGCGCCACAAGATCCTCAAGGTCTTCTCCGCCAACCTCGACGGCAGTGACTTGCTCTTCATCGGCCTTGTGGCGATGGACCTACACAACGGCAAATCTGTGGCCGGGGAGTTCACCGGGAGACTTCGCGTCGAAAATGCCACTTCGTCGCAGCCCAAGCTCCTCCTCTACCAGTCGTGGGCGGTGAGTCGACGAAAATCCTTTCTTTTTTTGCCATCTCGATTTCGTGAAAGACGGTATTGACGATGCGATTGGTTCCCCTGGCAGGACTCGGCCCCATTTGTCAAGGCGCTTCAAGGAGGTTAGAATAAGGTGGACAGAGCTTAGAGCAGCCGAGGAGAGAGGTAGATTGCGAGTCTATCTACCTTGGGGAGAAAAGCGATTTCCCGGCTGAGTCTCAAATACTCGGGAGAGTCCGTGAAACTGTGGATTTTCAATCCGGATCCCCAAAAGCGTTGGGCTGCAGTCTCGCTGGTGGTGATGAAGGAGCTTCTATAGTGGTGCTGGGCGCGAAGACCAGACACCTATACACTACCTTGACCAAGATCTCTCGGGACATTGATATTGATCACTCGATCACCATCCTATTCCTGATCTTTCCGATCTGGCTAATCTCAATTTCGACTTCATCTCCAGTCTTGAGCCAGGCGGGTGGTTTCATGAACGCTGCCACGCCGCTCGGGGTCCCCGTCAGCACCACCGTTCCCTTTCTGAGCGTCGTCCCACGGCTCAAGTGCTCGAGGATCTGCGGGACGGTGAATAGCAGGTCGTTGGTGTTTGAGTTCTGGCGTTCTTCGCCGTTGACCCTCGTCTTCAGATCGAGATGCGGCTCCCGGGGAATCTCGCTTGTCGAGACAATCACCGGGCCGATGGGTCCAAACTGATCAAAGGACTTTGCATAGCCGTGCTGGCCGCCAGATCGATCGGGCATTTGCCAGTACCGCGAGGAGACGTCGTTGCCAACAGTGTAGCCCAGCAGGAACTCCTCGAAAGGGTCTGGGGCGTGGTAGTTTCTCACATCCCCGCCGACGATGAAGGCGAGTTCGCCTTCGTAGTCGAGAAATTGACACGTGGGGTCAACTTGAATAGCATCATATGGCCCGGCGAGGGCGCCTGAACGAATGAGAAATGGTGGTTAGTGGATATTGGTAGGTGAGGTGAGACAAGACCCACCAGACGGCTTGGTGAAGACAGTTGGGAATGCCGGAACATCCAGGAGGGCCTCAGTAATATGCCCTTTGTAGTTCAGCCCGATGCCGTAGAAGATGGGCGTGGACGCAAGGGGACAGAGAATCTTTCGCCACAACGCTCCTAATCAGCCTTTCGTTCAATGGTTATGGAAGGCGTTCGGAACAAAATAAGGACCGCGACGTACCTCAGCGACCACAGCCTCATCATCTGAGGGGATCAAATCCCAGGGATCAGTGCCTTGGTAGAGTTTGACCGTGTCACCGACTCTGACTTGCTCTGGTGCCTCTCCATATCGGATGTCCCCATTGGCGGTCTTGAAGCGGACCAGGCGGCGAAAAATAGTCTTCATGTTTCTGAGGAGAAAGAGCCTTGTTGGGGCAGCGTATTTTGTGTGTGAGAGAGAGGAAGAAGACGATGAAGATGGGATCAATCAACACCTCTCCGTCCCGATCTCCTCGCTAACGGGAAACGACTATACGGTGGGGTACTTGACCAGCCACCGTAGTACTTCCAAGTATATAGACGATCGATCCCCTGAATCCCTTTAGCAACAACAAACCTCTCACTACCTGACAACACACGGCCTTCTTCCGACACGGGAGGAGCGAGGAAACGTGACCCCGAGTCACTCGTGTGGTTCGGATCCGGTCTAGGTCTCAATATCAACGTTCCTGGCCAAGAATAGTTCTGGAACCCACGTGATCTATCTGGACCGTCTTCTCTTGTCATATCAAGCGGCTGAGAACTCCCTGAACGATCAGATCTTGCTCCGCTTCTCGTGGCCCCCTTCCTCTTTCAAGTACTCGTCTTCCGCAAAGCGTTCGTAGAAGATCAAGCTCTTAGGGTTTTCCACCGCCCCCGATGGAGTGACCTTTTGACCCGAGACAATCTGCTTGACGGCCAATTCGATCTTTTTGCCGTTGATGGTGTATGGGATCTCCGGAGTCTGAAAGATGAAGCGGGGAACATGGCGCGGACTGAGCGCTGCAGCAATGGCCGACCGAACTTCTTGGATGGTGGAAGGGGAGAGAGTTCGATTGTCTTTCGTCTTGATGAAGAGGACGACTCGCTCGTCCGAGTCCTGTGGCCGGCGCTGGCCTACGCAGATGGTGTCCTCGAACTCGGTAAACTCGCTCACCACGTTGTAGATTTCGGCCGAGCCGAACCGCACACCAGAGGGGTTGAGCACGCCATCCCTGTCGCCATCAGTCAGCTCGATCAGCGCTCGTCTAGTAAGAAAGCTCCCCAAGGGGACGCCGAGACGGAGACATACGATCGGCCTAACATTGTATATCCTCCAGTGACAGGCGACGAGGAGACAAAGTCACCCTGTGTCCAGACCTTGTCACCAAACCTGTCGAAATAGGCGGATCGGTATTTATCCATCCCTTTCTCCCCCCAGAAGAGAACCGGTTGAGAGGGGAACGGTTCCCGACACACCAACTCTCCTGGCTCACCAGTACCCTTGATCGACACGGCATAGACCTTGGTCATGTCGAAGATATCGACGGCCATGCCCAGGGCTGGCGCCTGTATTTCTCCCGAGTACAAAGGTCCTGTCGGGTCACCTAGCACCACTGGGGAGCCACGGCAGTCGATCAGCACCAGCGACAGATGCCCGTCTAGGATTTAGGGCCCAACTTACGCGAGCATGCCATATCTGTGCCTCCGCTCCCAGATACAAGGTGGATGTGTTCCGGGAATCCAGCATCATAAAACCATTCGCAGACCTTGGCTGGGAGGACCGATCCGGTGGAAGAAACAGTTCGGAGACTCGTTAGGTTGATCGTTTGTCCTGTGAAATAAGGTTAGGTTAGCAAAGCTCTCTCTCTTCACACACACACACACAATTTGTAAGGGAATGAAAGGTTTTTTTTTGGGCTTTACTTGGATTCAACTTTCTGTCGTGAAGATCGGTCAGAAATCTTGCAGAGGTGCCGAACAGCGTTATTCTGTCATCCTCGAGTCAGTGAAGTCGTGGGTGACGTATGAGCGATCAACGATTCATACTTGAGTTTCTCGATCATGCGCAGCGTGACGAGAGGGTCCGGGAAGAGCGGAGACCCGTCATAGAGGACTACGCTGCCGCCATACGAGAGGCCACAGAGAACCATGGCCCACATGATCCAGCCAGTCTTCACAACATGTCAGCACCAGCATCTCTTCAGTCACGGAATGCACAGCAGTCACACCGTCGTATACTGGTAGATGATGTCTCCCGGCCTCACGTCCAGGTGGAGCATATAGTCTTTCTTGATTTGCAACAACATGGCCTGGACGAAACAGCTCTCAGGTCAGCCTCAATCCATTCCTCCTTGATGAGAAGGGGGTCTCCGAGGTATGATCAACTCAACTCACGCAAGCACTGTGAACGATGCACTTTGGAGCACCTGTCTGTGTCGGAGTCAACATCCTCCCGTATCATTGCGTCGAGTTGAATGTTTACTTGCCGTGCCAGACGAATATACGATGAACCCAGGCTGGTTGAATGGCAGTTGCACAAACGTGAGGTCTCGGTCCGGCGCTCCCTGGACAAAGTTGTGCCAAGTCACGACATCCCTCGAAACCTTGGTGGAGTAGGGAATTTCTCGAACGATCATGATGCCGAGTTGGAAGTTTCTCGTCTTCCGTAACCTAGCTGTGCACTCTTCGTACTTCTGGACCAACGGGCGTAATTTGCCATTATACCGCACCGAGCTCTCGAAAAGTACGAGCTTGGGTTCGATCTGGTTGAGTCGTTGCATGATGCCTTCGACCCCCATGTCAGGCGATGACGTGGACCATATGGCCCCCAAGCTCAAGGTGGCGAGACAGGCCACGACCGTTTCGACACAGTTGGAAATGATGGCGGCCACGCGGTCGCCGACGGTAACTCCAGCTTGAGCCATGGCGCTGGCCGTTGCTCTCACCATCTCTCGAAGTTCAGGCTGGGTCACGGGCTTGATGACTCCGCAGCCTTCCGAGACAGCGTACAGTGCGACTTTGTTCAGCGAATTCGTATTCATCAAATGCTCTGCGAAGTTCATCCGGATGTCTGGAAAGAACTCGGGAGGAGGGTACATGGAAGCATCCTAATGATCAACCCCTTGTCAAGACTGTACGGCCAGTCGTGAGCAATCAATGAAGCAGGATGCTACTCACGGTCCTTGTCATGGCCGTTGTAGGCCGAAGCCCAGGTTTGATCTGCTCATATTCGAACAGATCGATCCAGAAATCAGACGCGGTTGACGAATCAGTCGACCAGGCGTGAAGGTCCCCAAAGTTTCTCAACGCCAGCCCTCTTTTCTCATTCACTTGGCGACGGAATTTGTCCATGTTGGTCTGCGACGGGTCGGCATTCTCCCAAAGGATGCGCGGCGCAATGGCGTGGTCGGACATCGTACACATGTGGTTGTCGCAAAGTGACCTGGTATCAGAGCATCGAGTGACGAACGCTGAACGGATACTTGATGGCAGTGGAAAATGTGAAGGATATGCCGCTGTCCCAGTTGCGAAGGTGTGTATGTCGCGAGAAGACCATCCCATCAAATGAAATGGCTACAGATGTTTCTGGCCTGCCATGACCCGCGTGTTGGGTTTTGATCGTGTCGGGTCGAGCCCTCGTACTGTGAGGTTCTGGACGGAGCCTCGTCCATGCCGAAGCCGTGAACCGGCCGGGAGGAAGGTAGTGAACGATGAAGCACCGAAATCACTTGGATCTGGACAAAGCGACACTAGGCCAGAAGATCTCCGACCCGATTGTTGCAGGTAATCTACTAGCAGTTTCCTGCATGTATGAAGGCTCCGAGGGTACCGGAGGGTATCATCCGGTGTCCGGACTCCACATCTGTTACCTAGCCATCCTTCCTGTGGATATGGTTATAGTGGCGAGTAAAAATCCAAAAAATTAGTAATTTTACCAAGGGGTACAATAATGATACACCACTATATACGTATATAGCGATATAGCCCTAGATAGGCTAGAATAGCGTAATTTATCTAGTAAATAGCTATTTTATAGTATAGTAGCCTATATTAATATATTTGTACGATCTCGCCGTAAACTAATATCTTCTCACTACCACCTAGAGATACGCGCTATAGCTATAATAGCTAGACTAAATCCGCCTATATTAATACTAATATCTCTAAGGATACTATCTCCGACCTTAAGGGAGCTTATAGAGCCTACTCTAGTACTCTCTAGACTAGGCACTACTATTTTAGCTAGTACTAGTATAGTAGGCGATAGTAGACCTAGTTAAACCCTTAAGCTAATATTTAACGCCTCAATCTAGGCGCGATTACCTATACCTAGTACTACGATATACTAACCTATACTATAGTTTAGTAGACTTACTATAGAGGAGGCGTAATTAGTTACTCTTTAGGCGATTAGGGCGAGACCTACTATTAAGCGATCTTGGACCTTATAGAGCTTATAATAGCTATCTAAATTACAGTTCCTTAAGGATAAGGATAAGTTTAACTTATCCTTAGATCTAGGTAAGTTAAATAACTTAATATCTAGCTAATTTAGCTGGATATTAAAATAATTATAAAGTGTAAAATTACTAACTTTTTGGATTTTTGCTCGCCATTGTATCTCCATCTGGGACAGGCGTTATTGGAGTTTCTGATATTTTGTAATCAGTTTGGATTCTGCTCCACCGAGATCCCGACAAAAGTACCCAGTACCTGGTACCATGTTTGACAATCAGCCACCACCATTTCATAAGTCCAGTTGATCGGGCTGGAGCTCATTTGTTTCCGCCCCCATAAGAACAGCAGCGGATAATCTCCGGATTCGGCCTGGAATGGCCAGACTGGCTTGTTTCGTGCCGAAAGACGTGAACTCATGCCGGCCATCGTGGACCAAACGTTCGACCCCAATCTGCCAGATCCTTCCATCTTCTTCCTTCATCCTTCACCCTTCACTGGGCCGGAGTCTTTTCCTCAGCTAGGTCTTCGTGTCTGCCCACAATCCTCTTGGGAACATGTGAGGTAAGAAGCGGATCCATGTTGCGCATGCAGAGGGCCGCGATGGTCGAGACCGCCCCAAAAATGAGCGCCGCATAGTAGACATGGGCATATGCCGCGGCCTGTCCGTCATTGACCGCGTTCAAAACCGCAGTCAAGATGGCCGGACTGATGCCTGGGACCTGCTCCAGGGCCTGGACGGAACCAGCGGCAAGGGCGGCGAAGAGTGGTGGGAGAGAGCTTTGAGGGAGACCAGCTTCGAGGGCAGCAGGGGCGACGTGGCTTTCAAGTTCTCCAGGGAGTTTGTCTAAGGGGACACAAAAGTCAGTGGCGCAATCAATGGATGATGCGATGGATGGATGGCCTTAACTCGTCAAGGTGGCCAGCAGAATCGCTGTCCCGATGGCACCGATTCCTGTTCGTGCCCCGGCCATGAAAGAGAACGCCGAGCCCAATTCACCATCGCTGGGGGCGAGTAATTGCACCAACGCCGCCGTCTGTTGCTCGATCATGCCAATTGGCAGGCCGGCGAGAAAGGAGCAGGCGATCCCGAAGCCTCGATTGTTCCGGTTACAATGCGCCAGAGCGCCGACAAACGCAGTCATCCACGCACACTCGATGACGAGCTGCCATTTGACGTGTTTAACGACGCCCCAGAGTGGTCCCAGGAACACCATTCCGGCCCAGACAGAAATTCCGACCGTCGTTGATAGCCACGCCGTCTCTTGCCATGGCGTTGTCGGTGTCTTGTAGATGGAAGCAACCTCTGTAAGTGATCGCATTGCAGTATTAGTACTCGTCCGAGAGTTGGAACAACGCGACGAGGAGGCGTTTGATCAGACGCACGTGTAGGCCAGATGATGGAGAGACCAATATACGTGATCCCACCGATGCAGGAGCATGTGAAGGCCATCGTGTATCCCCATACGTCTATGAAGGATTTCTTGGACAAAAGGGGCCTCGCCAGAGGCATATATATCTCTGTGTGTGAGAGACTTATCAGTCATGACACAGCCTGAAGGCGTGGTAATCTGGCACTCACCGTAGAGGACAAAGGCGACCAACACCACCCCGCCGGTAATGATCTGACCTAATACCTTGCCAGATTTCCACGGATACGTACTGCCTCCCATCTGAATGCCGAGAATGAACAATATCAAGCCGACAGTCACCAAGAAAGCCCCACCATAGTCGATCTTGCGTAGCTTTTGCTGGAGTGACAATTCGTTTGCCAACTCTCTGGGGAAGTAAAACACCACATAGAGGACAAGAGCAACCCCTAGGGTTCCATCCAAGGTCAGAGCTGGGCCTTTGAGGGGTCTGGAATGCCGAGAGCCTAACCGAGGACAATAATATACACATAATAGATCCATCGCCAGTTCAGGTGGAAGACGATTGAGTTCCCTAGCACATGTGGTACTCAGTCCATATGTCAAGCAAAACACGCGAACGATGGATTCGACTCACCGAAATACGCGCCGAGACCCTGGGCGGGCAGGGCGATGGTGGTGACGAGACCCATGCCGACGATTTTGTGTCGATTAGGCACCAACTCTGTGGGCTCTGAATGTCAGACATCTGTGGAAGAACTGTGAGGTTCATCAAGGAGGGGTTGGGGGAAGGGGGACGGGGGTTGGTGGTTAGTAGTGGAGCGCCCATACCTGTCGCCACCACCATGAAAGTGAACTGGGCACCAGCAGCCAGTCCAATCAGTGCCTATACAGAGGATATGGATCAATCAATTGTTCTCGCGATAACTATTTGAGCCGAGTGGTTCTTACATTGGCGCCAGCAAGAGTTTCCATCGTCTTTGCGGTGCACGCAACGATCCCTACGCAGGAGTGAGCCAATCATGTTTTTTGTTTTTTTGCAAGACTAGGGAGAAGAAGATGAGGGAGAAGAAAAAGAAGCAGACTTACCTCCAATGAAGCCCGAGGCATTAAAGACAATCATGGTCCATCGTCGACCTAAAATGTCGGACAGGTATCCCACGAGCATATAGCCCACGGCAGTCCCCATGGTCCACACGATGGAGAAGAGACTCGCTTTCGATTGTGAGGCATCTGGTCTTCGTCAGACACCCAAACTACCCTCACCCCTTCCCAGGGCTCGTTGCGGATGTGAAAATACGAACCGGTGGCTTGACTGATGGTAGTCAACACGGCAGCAGGAACAATGAAGCCCCATGCGCAGCTGAACAGTGCCAGCGAAATGGCACAGAGCGATCCTAACTACACCGCCGCGAGACATCGGTCAGCAAGAGAATTCTGGGTGGGACATGATGAAATAAAAAAGGAAGAAATCGAAGACTACCCCGAAGCTGCTTGGGTATGTATAAGGACATTGGGGAGAGGAGAAGATGACAACAAGGTCTATCTTACGGTACATGGCTCCAGAAGGAACTTCCAGCCCACTTCAGCAATATGAGAGGTCGCCTCTGTCGCGATATTTTCGACGATAATCTGCTCAGCTCCAGCATGCGCTCCCGAGTCCTCGATTTCGAGTCTGGTGATACCATTGTCGGCCTAGACACAATCAAAGCAATCAGTAGGGCTCCTTTTCATACTGTATGGAAGATAAACTGACGGACTGACCTTGTCTCTTTGGTCCATAATGGGTTGTAAAGTATGGAACATGCGGGAATGTCCTTGTACTCTTACGCATTCAATAGGAGAGCTTGAGCGCGATAAGATGCTCCCGTTGGAAGGACAAGGAAGGGGGGAGGGCAGTTTTCAGCTCGATATTTATATCATGGCATCCCGGAGAGCGGTGTCCGGAAACTCCATGCCGTGTGAGGAGTGCCAACTTCTCATCATGGGCGGACGCGGACAGAGGTGTCCGGGGCCCCGGGGGCAGAAAAATCTAAGTCGACGAGAAAGGGGGCGACGCAAAAGAAAGAGGTCTGGTTCCCCCGGACACGAGTCGAGATTGCGATCGGCCTTGACCGAGGCTCAGAGACCATATGGGAGGAATCTGCCCGAGGTCAACTATTGGGCTCTTACAGGATACAGTCTCGGGCTCTGTGGGATCGACTCTGACAGGCCGATTTCAATTCTATTCTAGTCTCCATGGGAGTCATACCGCTGGAATTGCCCTGCACGAGATCCTGCCACGGTAGCGCGGCTGATCTTGACTCGATTGGTGGCGCTGGCGGTGATGGCATCGTCCCCCACGGTGACACCGTTGGTCAGACCAGCCTTTGCTTGTTGGGACACGAACCCATTGGGATCGTAGGGGTCGGTGGGAATGTCCTGGCCGACGGTATCACCGAGCAAGACCCTGAGCGCCTCAACAGCCTCCTCTCCATGACGCAGACTCCCATCCAATTGTCGCCAGGCCACAAAGTTGTCCGGACGCACGAGAATGGCCCCTCCTCTCCGAAGCTGCGATTCTCGAGGCCAGCGATCGTCGCGGTCAACATACGCGCAAGGGCGAAGTCCCGAAGCCAGCGGGCCGATCTGAGCAATCCGGACATTAACTTTCAGCTCTCCCACAACTTTCCCGAGGGCGTCGATCCAGGCAGATCCATAATGGTCAGTAATAAGCAAGTAGTCATCCGTCTTCTTGATGAGGTCATGCGTCGACAGGACATGCTGAGCACGATCATCCCTCTCTTCAAGCCAGACATGGGGAAGTCGGTGACCCGGTCGGCTTGTTTGGACATATGTTTGGCCCAGGGGGTCAATCGGGGGCCTCTCAGTGCCGTCCGAGACCAATGCGCCGCCTCGCCAGTAGCTAAACCCGAGTTCAAGGTCCAAGGCAGAGTATTCGGTCATTTGGCTCTTGATGAGGTATCTCAACTGAGCACGGAACGTTTCACCAATGTCAGACTCTTCCACCAAGGCTTCCATTCGCGCGCGGTTGAGTTCTCGTTGTCCGGGGGCGAAACCTACCGCAGCGGCAATGATGGCTTGGTTGGAGAATGTCATCAATCTAAACACCGCAACAGTCCGTCAGCTTTACCTTTTCCCGTGGATAAAACGCAATTGACATGGCCAAGTACTCACCCCCAATCGCAATTTCGCTTTCCAACAAGGCGTCTCTCTTGCTCATAGGTATCGAGAAGTCTGGGCGAAGCGGTCCCTTTGATCACTTGCGCAAGCTTCCAGGAGAGGTTGTATGCATCCTCGATCGAAGTGTTGAGACCTAAGCCAGTGGTTGGTGGACCTGAACCAGCGTCAGCCACACATTGGAGCTATAGCATGTTTCGTCTCGAGACTTACGTCGGTGCGCGGCGTCGCCAGCAATAAAGATCCTCCCTTCTCTGTACTTGTTGGCCAACACACGCTCCAGGACCCAGTGACTAACCGCTTGGACCTTGAGTTGAAGGTCGGGAATTTTGAGCAACTCTCGAATTCTCGGGATCAGTAAATGCTCCTGGGCTTGGGTAAATCGAGCTGGATCATCGACACGGAATCCAAAGTGAATGGTCCAGTTTTCAGAGTACCGTCCAAAGGTGGGGCCCATGCAAACGACTGTGCCACTCCCCAGAATTGTCTCGCCCTCGGGATTAATGTAATTCGCAATCAAGGTTCGCTCGTCCCAATACTGGGACAGGTCCGCCTCGAAGTGGACCGACACAACGTCCGCAATGTCGGTTGGTCCTTCAAGAACAGCACCAATCTTGGGTGCGACGAAGCCTTTCCCACCTTCGGCAGCGACGACATATTGCGCGCGATAGGTGACCTGGGGACCCTCGGTGGGTTGAACACTAATCAACACATAATCGTCGTGCGGGACAATATCGATGACTCTGTGGGAGAACTTAATATTCCCGGGGTTCCTCTCCTCTGCAACTGTTCTCCAGATCGGCTCAGACCGGACAAGTGGCAAATTCGCAGGTCTTTCAGACCCGACAAGTCTGTCTCCTCGTCAGCTACATTGGAGGACATCGAACAGGACTTCCCCGTACAGGTACTTATGAAGCAGTTCAGAACCCTCATCACCGCCGAAGGACGGGCTGGCAAAAAAGAGCTTCCGGTCATATGGGCCCGTGCCCCCCAGTGATGATGAAAAGGTCACCTGGCTCATACAACGGTTGGGGGCACTCTGTTCTCTGATGCGGTGCGCATAGCCATGAACACGGAAGATTTCCAGGCTCCTCTGGTTGAGATAGTGTGCCTTCGGCAAGATCGAGGTATCCCTGTGCTTTTCAAATAAGACATGCGGTATCTCCTTTGTCGACAGAAAGATGGACAGGTTCAAACCACAGCCTAGACTTATTAGCAGGGCCTAGTCTTGTTGAGTGGAATGCAAAAGTATACCGCCGCCTCCGATGATGACCACAGGCACGTCGATGATTGTTTGGCTGTCGGTGGCCATGTCGTTACTATTCCCTGATGATACTGGACCTCTTCTGTTCCTCTAATTGCTGTGGACGTGGGGTCCCTCCCGCTGCTCTTGTAGCTTTTCTCGCACAGTAGATCTCAACTCTCATACCATCTTAACACAGGCAGCATGGCGGGACGTCGCAGCTAGGCCACCAAGCACCCTTCCGAAGTACAAGTGGACTGAGGGTTGGTGGTCTCGTGACTTGGCATTCTCAGTGGACTCCCCCGGGTGGCGATCCGGGCCGCGGAGGTTGCCCCGAAGCCATTACTCGGAGCGGAGGCTCTGCCCCCGGAGTCACGAACGTTCTTGGGCCTGCGTGAGGCATTGACTCTCTGAAGATGCTGTTCAAGGTGAGGTACAGTAGACGAGTGCCTTTTGTCATAAAGAATTGGCATTTTAAGCCCCGGGTCACGTGACTCTCCAGTGGGACATTTGTGACTGAAAGGGTTGCCAAGGGGATGTAATGACTGTCACGCTAGTACCTGGAAGGGCTTCGGCCGAACGGCCTCGAACTAGCGTGGTAGGCCTCTGTAAATTACTCGAGGGTATATAGTCAGACGGTCCCCAGGACCTAGCAGAATTCACCATGTTACTCCGTTGAGTCACACATTTGACCAGTACTACGAAGTATACCGGGTAAAGACCATTGATCCCCGCTGTGTGATGGGTTGAACCCAGGAGAAGGCTCGGTTCTGGCGAACCAGCGCCAAGACCAACGCCAGGAAACCATACCTTCTGATTGGGTGTGTTCGCCTGTATAATGTACAGGCGAAATGCTGCCTCCTGATTGGTCAAGACGTACACGGTGCAAGGGATACAGAATCCTGACAGCTGAGACACCGTACGCAAGGGAAGGTAAGGAGTTGGAGTAAGTACGCAGGGGAAGGCAAGGAGCTGGAACAAGTACGTAAGGAAGGAGCAAGGAGGTAAGGACACTAGTTACCTCCTTACGGCGCGTTAAAGGATATAAGGAGAAAGGAAGGACAGCCATTCCTCCCTTCTCTCTCCTCAAATTTGTCCTCCTTGTTACTAGGTTAGCTAGCTAGTTGCAGAACTCTTTCCAAACCCTCACACCTTATAGTGGAGTGTACGATATAAGGAGAGAGAGAGAGTGACTGTTCTTCCTTCTTTCTTTCCCTCCTTAAATTTATCCTCCTTATTACTAGGTTAGCTAGCTAGTTATAGAACTCTTTCCAAACCCTCATAATAATTATTATTAAGAAGTTAAGGTATTTAGGTTAGTAAGACTATTATTACGTACTAAAGGAAATAAAGTATAGTATAGGGTAGTAGAGTATTAATAGTATTAGTATTATTAAGCGTATCTAATTACTTAGGAGTAGAGCTTAGGTAGCGAAGGATTTAAGCTTTAGACTATATAGTATAAGGGTACTATCCGGTGTAGGAATATAAGACGCTAACTAGGGGAGAAAGTCGTATCTATTACGAGCTGCTATATGACACGTGAGGTGTCCATAGGCAAACCCGCGGTAGTTTACTTAGTGATATAGTAGGGAGGGACGCTATAGCTGAGACTGGAAACTAAGTGTATAGTATGCAGACCTATACGTATAGTAGATGATCGTAAGGAACTCGATTTTCTATAACTATTATTAACTATAAGGAGAACTATATAGCTAAGCGCGGCTATATACCACTCGGGATATATATTTAACATATTACTCTATTAGACATATTAAACATGTCAATATGTTTCTGAGCCTATCTAGGTATATTACTCTATTACCCCGCTAGGTTATGCTAACATATTTACTAAGATACTAGCGTCTGACATATTCTCCTCGGTTAACCTTCCTCCTTATCTTTCCCCTTAGTCTCCTATATAGTCGGTTTATAACACCTCCCCCTCCTTTAACGTATGCGTTACTCTTAACGTACTTAAGGTGAGCGTATCCCTTTCCTTCTACCTTTTACTTCCTCCTTATGGCTAATTATGCTAAAGGTTCCGAAACCCCCTCGATCCTAACGATATCGTAACTTAGGTAACGCTATTATAAAGCTTAGCTCCCGCGCTCCTAATCCCTACCTAGAGTATACTAAATCGCACTCTATCTACATTATTCGTCGTAGTTATTCGAAGTACGGTCCCTATACTAAAAAGAATATAATCTATTATAGTTACTTTTCTAAGGCCGAGTTTAATCGACTCGAAAATAAGAAGTAGGAGTTAATTCGGTAAGGCTAGGAGACCTAAAATTTAATATTAGTCTTAGCTAAGTAATTATTAGAAACTTAGTAGTATATCGCTGATATAAATAAAAGAGTAGACATCCTAACGAAGCATTAGGAGGATATAGCGGATCGTAAGGCGGCGGCCTTAAGTTTACTTAATAATAGTAATAGTGTAGATACGGCGGTAATAGACGTAGATCCCTTTATCTAGGATAATCTAGCTTTTAACGCGGTCATTTTTTCTAATCCGTCCCTCTCTTTTCTAGAATTTAGAGATACGAGATAGCTCTCTAAGTTATCTAGTTAATAATTCCTTAGTACTATTATTCTTTATCCCGGTCCTTAGGCTCGATTCTAGATAATCTAATGTAGTATTAGTAATATTTAATAATAAGTGTCTTAGGTACGTTTTCCCTTAGTTCCTAGGTATTAGGTTCCGTTATTAACTAATATACTAAGTATTACGTCAGTACTAGGAACCCTTAATAAGCTAATATCTTTTCTAGCTTTATTTCTTACATCCCGTAGAGTTCTACGTTAATTATTTCTCACCGGCGTTTAGTATTAGTCTTACTTTCTGATTTTAGTTCCTTTAGAATAATAGGTCGCGTACCTATCCTTTAATAGTATTCTTTCTTTACTCTAGATAGTAAGTTATCGCTATATTCCTAAGTGTTTTCTAAATCGTCGTATCCTAACTACTTAACTAGGTATATGTTAACATACTTAATAGCTTCCGACCTAGGGCTGAAGTTAACTAACCTCTTAATCTTATACTTTAGTTCTCCTATCTCCTTATCGATCTCTACTAGTCCTAGTTTCGCATTTAGATCCCTATATAATTCTAGTAGAGATTTATAGAATACTAAGTATATTTCTAGTATCTTTAGGAGATCTAGTTCGTATATAACTAGTCCTAGTTTCTTTTTAATACGATATAGTCCGATTTTAGTGTAATCTAGTTTATCGCTTAGTTATTTTATTTTGATGTTTTTTCTTCTTATATAGACTATCCCTCTCTCTTTAAGGTCTAGTCCCTTAGATCTTCTTTTATTTTCTCTTTTTACTATTTTTTCTAATATTTTTTATAATTCCTTTTGTATTATATTATATAGCTCTTTTATCTTATTGTTCAGAGGACATAGAGTAGATTAGCTCATAGGATCGTACCCTTTTAGGTAATGTACGTGACTGTTAGGAAGCTTAGTTAAGTTAACTATCTGAGAGGAGAGAACGCTCTTATATAGATAAAGGAAACACTACTAGATAGTGATAGAAGTACCTCGAAGGTAGATTTCTAATCACTATTAGTAATCAATCACATTATAGTAACGCCACCCTTAACGCCACCGCCTATATCACGTGATCTAGTATAGACTAGTAGCGTTAACTAGTCACGTGATAAGACGCTAGGCCTAATTAGGCCATACGCCTAAATGGCGATATTCCACACACCCCCTTAAGCTAGATCTAGCCTTTTGCGAGATCCTAGCTTATAACTGGAATGTCGTTTATCTAGATAGTCAGTCTGATGCGTTTCCTTACCTTTTAACGCTTTACTAGCCTATCTAGACTAGTTTTAGATCCTTTAGGCCTATACCTTGGATGAAGTTAATCCATTTTTCAGTAGTAATAGGCTTAGTTAGACCATCGGCCAGTTGAGCGTCCGTAGGTATCCAATTGAGTCTGGATAGGTCGTTTTGAACGCATTCTCGCACATAGTGGTATTGTATGTCGATGTGCTTAGTCCTAGCGTGATATACGGGGTTTTTCGCTAGTTCTATAGCTGAATTTGAGTCGGTATAGACATTTAGGCATTCTATAGTAAGACTAGGGCCTAGTAGGCCTTTTATCTCGCTTAGTAGTGCCTTAATGTACTGTTGTTCCTTTATAGCCTCTTTTAGGGCCATATATTCAGCTTCGCAGGAACTTAGCGCCACCGTACGCTGTAGTTTCGAATTCCAAGATAGAGGAGTGCCGCGGTAGACGAATAGATAGCCTGTCGTAGAGCGTCTAGTGCCTATATCACCCCCCCAATCTGAATCTACATAGCAATCTATACTAGTAGACTTAGATTGATAGGCTAGACCTAGGTCTTTTGTTATAGATAGGTATTCCCATATCCTTTTAAGCACTTTGAAGTGTAAAGGACTAGGATTCGACATATACCTAGCTAAATAGCCTACCGGATAGGCTAGATCAGGTCTTGTCTTCGTCATAAGGTACATAAGGGCTCCTATCTGTTGCTGGAACTCCTTTATATCGTCCGCTTTGGCGTTTCCTTCTATAGGCTCAAATTTTAAGCCTATTGGAATAGGACTCGTAAGTTTGATCTCTTTCTTATCTCTAGGTTTATACTGATTGAGTATTTTATCAATATAGTGACCTTGAGATAGAGATATAGACCTTTTAGGTCGATCCCTAGTTATCTTAATGCCTAGGAATTCATCGATCGTACCTAAGTCCTTCAGTTCGATAGATTTAGATAGGTCCTTAAATAAGGTCCTTATCTTTGACATTTCTGAGGATATGACGATTATATCGTCAATGTAGGCGATTAGTACGATCGATAGGTCGTTATTTAGGTAGATAGATTGATCCACCTTCGAAGGGAATAGGCCTAGTTGTCGTAAAAGGCCTTTTAGGTGTCTTTCCCATTCTCTACCTGACTGTTTTAGCCCATATAACGCTTTATTTAATAGGCATATATAGTCAGGTTTAGTAGAGTCTTCCCAGCCTATAGGCTGATTTATATAGACCTTTTCGTGTAAGGTAGCGTTTGGAAACGCACTCTTAACGTCCCATTGGGCGATTTCCAGGTCTAGATCGGCCGCTATAGCTAGGATAAGCTTCCAGGCTATAGGATTGACTGTATTTACGAATGTCTCGTTATAGTCAATGCCTGATTGTTGTTGAAAGCCTCTAGCTACCCACCTAGCCTTATAGATAGGATTTCGATAGGGATCTTTAATCTTAAGAACCCATTTCCCATC